TCCCGCTTGGTTCCCCCCCCCCCCGTCGGTGGTTTCGCCTCAGGGGCGGACTTCCGCCCCCCCCCCCCCGCCGCCGCCGCCGCCGCCGCCGAGCGCGCTCCACCAGTGCGCCCTTCTCGGGCCAACGACGACGATCTCCATGTCGCGCGTCTCGTGTCGTATCCCTCGCCCGAGACGCTTCCACACGTCGTTCGGGTTATCCCTCGCGAGGCTCTCCAAGCTCCCCTCGACGACGAAGACGTCGTCCCGCAGGCGGAACCCGACGCCCTCGAGCCGTCCCAGCGTCCACGTCGTCACCTTGACGCGTCTGGCGCCGACGTCGTCGCGCGCGTCCGCGGCTGCAGCCGCGTCCCCGGCCCCGGCCCCGGCCGCGCGCAACGCGTCTACGACCGCGGTCGAGGACGACGCGTGGTCCCTCGCGAGGATCGCGGTCATCCCCGCGAGGACGAGCAGCGTCGGCGGCGGGTCCGGGTCCGTCTGCGCGCCTCCGGGACGCGAGCTATTCGGCGAGAGGATAAACTCTCTGAGGTCCGCGAGCGCGAGATCGCGGCATCGCGAGAACGCCCAGCGCACGCGCGAGTAGTGCGTCGGCTCGTTGTACTCCGTGACGATCAGCGTCGGGCGCGACGCGTCGATCGCGTCGACGGCGTCGCGCACGGAGCGCGTGAAGAGTCGACGCCACGACCGCGGCGCGCTCGACGCGCTCGACGCGCTCGACGCGCGCGCCTCGCGGTCCTCCTCCTCCGTCTTCGTCGTCAGCCTCGACAGCTCGCTCGCGGTGAAGCGCTCGCGGCATCGTCGCTCCCACGCGCGCTCGTCCCTCGCCGCGACGTCGCGCGTCCACGTCGCGCACGAGGACACCGCGAGGAGGTCTCTCCAGTGTAAGCGGTCGAAGACGCACCGCAGCACCTCCGCGGGGAGCGTCTCCATCGCGCCCCTCCCCGCGCGGGAGCCGAGTGCGGACGTCGTCGACCGGGCGCGACACGTCGTCCGAGATCTGTGCATACAGGAGCCGCCGATACCAGCGCGCCGGAGCGCAGCGCGTGTCGGACGCGAAGCGACGCGCGATTTGCGCCAACACCCGCACCACATTCCGCGCGCGCGTCCGGGCGGGTTCGGCGCGGCGCGACTCTCTCGACCCGCGCGTCAACGTCGCGACGATGGTACGCCGAGCATCTTCCCGCCGCCGACCCGCGATCGCGTCTTCGCGCGCGCGCGGGGTCGCCCCGCGCGTCGCGTTCTCCGACGTTTCGCAATTGCGATCATCATCATTCTCAAGTGTGCTGGGTTTCTTCTCTTCCGCGTCTCCTCACCCGCCCCCCCCTCCCCACTCCCCCTCTCTCGCATCAGGACGACGTCATCGACGCGCCGCACGACCGCGTCGGCGCGATGAAACCCATCGCCGAAGCGATGGAGTCCCCCACGGGACCGATGGAGTTCCCGTCCACGCCCGGGTCCGCGTCCCCCGCCGCGAACGGAGACACCCCGATCGCGTCCTCCGCGCCCTCGCCCGGGGGCGACGCCTCGGAGGACGCCTCGGAGACGACGACGCCCGCGAACGACGCGTCACCGTCCGACGCGGCGGATACGGCGGAGGACACCGCGACGGGGGGACCGTCGCCGGTGATGACCGCGGCGATCGCGCGAAGGAAAGCGTTCGGGGACCAGGACGGGTGGCTGGGGAATCAGTCGAAGACGACGTTCTTGTCGTCGTGCCAAATCTTTCACGAGTGCGAACGCGCGGCGCTCACGGCGTTGACGCTGCGATCCGTCGCGGCGGTGCATCAGCCCGGGGAAGTATTACTGCGCGCGGGAGAGACCACGGACTACGTCTGGCTCGTCGAAGAGGGCGAGTGCGTCGTGTCCCTGCGCGGCGTCACGATCGAGGAAGAGGAACGTGCGGCGGAGCTCGCCGCGATGCGAGAACGCGAGGAAGAGAGCGCGCGCATCGAAGCCGAGCTCGCGCTGCCGTCGTCGAAAGCGACGAGCCGCGCGCGCGACGGCGGCGCCGCGGCGAAGAGAGCCGCGGCGAAGAGAGCCGCGCGAATTGCGGCGCTCGCCGCGGCGGAGTCGGGCGGCGGCGCGCGGCTGGCGTCGAAAACAAACGTCGGGGGATTGAATCCTCGCGGGACGACGCGAACGCGCGGCGGTCCGGGAGAGCCGCGACGCGTCGCCGTGCTGCTCCCTAAGGACGCGTTCGGGGAGCGGTGCGTCCTGTCCTCCGAGCCGATGCGGTACACGGTCGCGTGCGTCGGGACGAGGCCGGTGAAGGTTTTGAAAGTCCCGGGGAAGGAGTTCAAGGCGACGTTGAAGAAGGGCGACGAAGGCGACGACGACGGGAAGAGACGCTCGCGGGAGATGAAGCGGCGGATCTTGAGAGCCGCGCTCGCGAGGGAGGAGACGTACGTCGAGCGCGCGAACGCGGTAGAGGCTGCGCGCGCGCTCGCGTTCACGCACGGGCACGAGCGGGAATTTTTGTTGCGTCGAAGAGCGAAGCGCGAAGTCGCGGAGAAGGAGGAGCGGGAGAAGGTTCGCCCGCCGCCGCCGCCGGAGATCGAGGGCGCCGTCGGCGGCGCCGCGGTGACGCGGACGCCGACGACGCAGGAGGAGCTGAACTACATGAAGCACGCCGCGGTCGAGTCCGCGAAGCTGCGGAAGATGGATCAGAGCACGACGGTGGAGCTGACGAGACGAGACGTCACGCGCGTGCGGTGCCGTCCGCCGTCGCCGTCGCCGTCGCCGTCGACGTCGACGTCGACGCGGCGCGTCGCCCTCGGGGACGCGTCGTCCGCGGAGGCGGACGTCGCGGACGAGGGCCGGCCTGGCGGGGAGAACGAGACGCTCCGCGAGGCGTCGACGCCGTCGTCCGCGTCGAGGCAGCGGCCGCGTGCGCGGTCGCAGTCCGCGCGAACGCCGGCGGCGACGCTCTCGGAGCTCACGCCGGAGTTTAAGCAGAGCGGGGCGAGGTTCGCGACCCCGAACGCGGAAACGACAGAAATGGATAAGGCACGGCCGTTATCCGCGAAGCTCGTCGTCGGCGCGGCGATCGAGCAGCTCCGTTTATCCACCCCGGGGATGGACCGTCAGCGACGGATGAAGCACTACGCCGCGAGCGTCCGCGGCGGCGTTCGGGCGCGGCCGCAGAGCGCGCCGGCGTCGCGGTCGACGGGCGGCGGCGGCGCCGGGTTCGACACCTTCGGGTTCGGTTCTTTAGACGGCGTTCGCGGGATCGATCCTCCGAGGCGGGGGATGCCGCCGCCCGCGGAGCCGAAGCTGAGGTTATGGACTCGGACGGGGCCGCCGCCGCCGGAGAAGAAGCGGCCGAATTGGGTGTGCGGAGGAGGAAGACTCAAGTACGAAGACTTCAAGTCGTGATCGAGGCGAGGCGCGCGGGCGGGTGGTTTCGCGGAGACGCGCGGCGCTCGCGCGCTCGAGTAACTTAGTTTTTCATCGTCGAGTCGAACAAAAATACGTTCTTTCAGGTCAGAAGTTGTCCTTCCGCTTCCGCGTCTCCTTGAACACCGCGACGTCGTCCGCGTCCACTAACCCCACGTTCCTGCGAATCTCGTCGCTGTGCGGGCGACAGAACGGGTTCGTCTCCAACTCGAGTCCGATCGTCGTCGGCACCGTCCACTCCCCTCTCGCTCGCTTCTCTTCCACCTCCTTCGCCCTCGCGCTCAGCGCGTCGTTCCCGGGCTCCACGCTCATCGCGAACTTCGCGTTCGCGAGCGTGTACTCGTGCGCGCAGTACACCTCCGTCTCCCTCGGCAGCGCCATCAGCTTCGAGACGCTGTTCCACATCTGCGTCGCTTTCCCTTCGAACATTCGACCGCAGCCGAGCGCGAAGAGCGCGTCGCCGACGAACACCTTCCGCTCGGCGGGGAAGTAATACGCGACGTGCCCCAAGGTGTGCCCGGGGACGTCGATGACCCTCGCCTCGATGTTCCCGATCTTGACGACGTCGTCCTCGCTCACCGCGCGATCCATCCCCGGGATCGCGTCCGCGCCCTTCCGCTCGCGCGCGGGGCCGACGATCTCGCACGCGTGCTCGCGCTTCAGCTCGACGTTCCCGCCGGTGTGGTCGCCGTGCCAGTGCGTGTTCAGGATGTGCGTCAGCTTCCATCCTTTCTCTCTCAGCGCGGCCTCGATCGGCGCCACCTCGGGGGTGTCCACGACCGCGGTGCACCCCGTGGACGGGTCGTGAAGCAGGAACGCGTAGTTATCGCTGAGGCACGGGAACTGATGCACCTCCATCGCTCCCTCGGCCGTCGCGGTCGACGCCGCGCACGCGCGGGAGAGAGAGCGCGGGGTTCGACGGAGCCGAGCGCTGGACGTGAGCGCGGCAGGGACGGCACCGACGACGACGCGGGCGACGGCGAGCATCAGGGTGCCGAGGACAGTGTCGCGGAGGAAGCTTCAAGGTACCGCGAAACGTCGTCGTTGTTGCAGCACCGAAACGCGTCACTCCACTCAGCACGAGAATATCTCCCGCGCGAAGGAGGCCCCGATCCGTCACTCCGCCCGCGCGCTCCACACGCGTCGTCTCGTTCGTCGCGCCGTTCGCCGTCATCCCGCGGTTCCCTCGCGAACGGCTCACGCGCGCGCGCTCCGGCTCACCTCGCTCGCGGCCGCGCAGATCGATCGCTCCGTCTGTCCGTCGGATCTCGCCTGATTTAGGCGGCAAAAGAACCGAGTAACACGATGCCGCGCCTCACGTTCTCCTCGAGCGACGGCAAGGATAAGGACGCGAAGCGCAAGTTCGGCGGCGGGAAGATGCGCGCGTTCCCGACCGGCGCGTCCGTCGTCGGGAAGATGCGCGCGTTCGGCGACGGCGCCGCGAGGAAGAAGAACGACGGGCCGTCGCGCGTCTCCGTGCTGAGCCGCGTGACGGGCGGGATCTCCAAATTCCGATCCAACACCGAGCGCGTCGTGAGACGCGTGACGACGAACAACGGAAAGTGGAAGCACGACATGTTCCCCGGGTCGCGCGGCACCGTCGGGGAGAAGCGCGAGAGGATCGGCGACCTGCGATCGCGCCTCGGCGGCGGGAAGAGCGACGGGCGCGTCGTCCGCCTCGTCGGCGGCGGCGTCGGCGGCGGCGCGTCTCGCGGGGACTTGCGGAACACGCTCGGAGGCGCCCCGAGAGGGAGGTCCGGGAGCGGGCAAGAGCAGGTCGCGAGCTTCCTTCGCGGGTTAGACCTCGGGAAGTACGTCGGCGTGTTCAAGTCCCAGGAGATCGACGTCTCCGCACTGCAGGCGATCACGGACAGGGACTTGGAGAACTTGGGGCTTCCTCTCGGACCTCGGAAGAAGGTCATGGCGGCGAAGAAGACGGCGTTCCGCGGGTTTTAATAACCGACGAAACGAGGCCGATGACTGAAACACACGCCACTCGCCATCGTCACTAACACTATCATCAAAACACGCCACTCGCCATCGTCACCCGTTGCGCTCGCCTTTCGCCAAGATCACCTTCGTGACCTCCCCCGCGCCCGGCATCCCTTCGCTGCCGGTGTCGTACGCGCGCTTCAACACGTACTCCTCGCTCTCCATCTTTCCAAACTTTTTGTACAGCTCCCACTTCCCGTCGTGCGTGTATCGCATCGCGCCGTATATCGGGAAGAAGTACGGCTTGCGGTACAGCAAACGGAAGTGATACACTTCGCGCCACGTCGAGACGTACTCGCGCCGTTCCCCTCTGCCTCTGATCGACATCACGTTCCCCGCGCTCTGGATGTCGTCGAGCTTAGGATTGATCATGATCATCGGGCGATCCCCCGCGGCCTCCTCCATCGCGATGATCCGCGGCAACACCGCGAACCCGACGATGTTCTGCGGCGCGATCAAGATGAAGAAATCATCCTCCGGCTGCGGGACGTCGCCGTCGATCGCGCCTCTGGAGATGAACTCGTCTGCGTCGCCCCAGTCCATCATGTCAAGTATCCTCGCCACGCCGGATAACGACAGCGGCAAGCCTTGGAACACGCCCTCGCCCATGCTTCCCTGAACGCAGACGCGGACGCGCTTGCCGTCCTTCGCGAGCGTCATCGCGAGCTCGCGGACGAGCTCGAGCAGCGTGCCGACGCGGTACACGTCGCCGTTGACGTTGAGCTCGGGGAACTCCACTTTCGCCTTCACGCGCGTCATCGGTTCCTCGCCCGTCACCGCGCGCGTCACGGACGTCACGCAGTCGTCGTAGAACCACCGTCGGACCTCCCTCGGGTGCGGGGTGTTGTTCAGCATGATCGGGATGTCCGCCTTGCGCGCGAGGTCTTCCTCCGTGGGCATGTTGACGTCGTCCTCCGGCTTCGCTTTCCCCGGCGCGCGCCCGGATGGCGCCTTTCGCGTCGAAGACGACGGCTTCCCCTTCGCGTCCGCGTCCTTCTCGCCGCCGCCGAAGCCGCTCCAGAACGCGCGAATGGGCGACGACGACGCGCGGGACGCGCGCGGAGGACGCGCGCGAGCGCGGAGCGCGAGGCTCGGCGCGAACGCGGTCGACGTCATCGCGGCGGGCGGCCGTGCTCGCGCTTCGTCGAGTGTTGCCGACGAGGAGGAACACACAGCTGGCATGGCACTCCAGCCTGGCACTCGCTGCTCGAGCCAGGTGCTCGAGCCTCGAGTTTTCGCCCCGCCGCCGCACTCCTCCCTCGCGCCCCGCGCGCCCCCCTCCGCGCCTACAGTACGCCATGGGCGCCTGCGCGAGCCGCGACGCCGCCGCGCGAGCGCGCGCCCGCCCGCCGGATCCGACCGACGCGCCGAACTGCTCGACGCCCGCGAAGCGCGGCGCGTTCGGCAGCCCCCTCGACGACCTAAACCCGGAGGGGGCGCCGCCCGCGCGTCCGGAGACGACGTTCGGGTCCACCGCGGCGACGGACGGCGGGTCCTCCCCTCGGACGCCGCGCGCGTCGAACGTCATCGACGGCGTCGTGAACACGACCCCGTTCGCGCGCCCGTCGCTGCACAGCCCGTCGCGCTGGGAAGGCACGAGTAAGGCGACGACGACCACCTCTCTCCTCCCTCTTCTCTGTCTTCTCGTGCTCTTTTTCAAACTTCTGCTCCAACTTTTGTTCTCTTCCTGACGTCGCCGCCGCCGGCTTCCGACCTCACCGCGCGGCGTCCCGAGACCGTTCCTCCCCCCGAGCACGTTCAACCGCCGCCGACGTACCACGAGTGACGGCGACGACGCCGACGCGACGACGCCGACGGCGCGCGGCGAAGACGACGTCTGGCGACGGCTCTCGAGTTTTCGCGCGCCGCTGTCGACGCCGCCATCGACGCCGCCGGACCTCGCGACGCACGCGCTCGCGGACGCGTGGAGCGACGACGACAGCGACGAGGACGACGCGTGAGGCGCGCGGACGACGTGATGTGCTTTTGATCGCGACGAGGGGCGAAGCGCGCTCGATGGACGAAGAGACGAGACGACGACGACGACGACGGCGGCGACCGAGACGAAACGCGACGACTGCGAACGCGATGTTAAATTCTCACGACGACCAGACGCGAACCGCGACCGCCGTCCGTCTCGTCGCTCACCAGCCCACGCGCTCCGCCATCTTCCCGCCGCTGCCGGCGTCGTAAAAATCATCGTCCGTGCCGAGGACGAACAACCTCCCGTCGAACACCTGAAAGAACGCGCCTCGCACCTGCAATGTCCCCGCCTTCACCGCGTCCTTCACCCACGGGTACTCCGACACCCTCTTCACCGACAGACGCACGTTTTCGAGCTCGAGCTGCCGCCCGCGAATCTGCGGGTCGAACTTATCGATCACGCCGCACACCGCCTCCTTCATCGTGAAGCACCACCTGTCGACGGTCGAGGGAACGCCTCCCTCGCCGTGCATCGCCACGCACAGGTCGCGGTTCTTCGTCACGACGTTCAGCGCGTGCGCGCACCCGCCGCACTGCGAGTGGCCCATCACGAGGAGCAGCGGCGTCTTGAGCGCGGTGACCGCGTACTCGATGGCGGCGACGACGCCGTTCTCCGTGGACTCCCCCGGGGGCTTGTACGCGGGGATCATATTCGCGACGTTCCTCACGGAGAAGATGTCTCCGGGTTCCGTGTCGAAGATGATCGCGCCGTCCTGCGGAGGGAGGGGATGGATGTCTTTAGAAAGATTCATATTATTCCGCGGTCCGGTGGCGTCGAATCGATTCGATCGTCGAGGGAGCTGGGACGGCGGGGCGAGCGCGCGACGACGCGAGACGCACCGCTCTGGAGTCGGAGCACCCGACGAGGCACGTGTGCGGGTTCTGGCCCTCGTTGGACAGCATCGCGAACTTCGGGGACAGGACGCTCATGCCGTTCTCGCGGAACCTCTGCGCGAGCGAAGGAAGAGATGATGGGAGGGGGAAGCGGAGGGAATCAGAAATCCGCGCGACGTCGTCGTCGTCCTCGCGCGCCGAGCTCCGCGCGAGCGAAGCGAGGGTTCGCGAACCTTGTACCCGCTGAGCACGTGCGCGATCTTCGGATCGTTCAGAGCGGCCGACATGGCGACCGGTCGGGGGGTGTCGCGTGGACGGCGTCCCGGGAAGTGACTCGTCCTCGGCGATACGACCCTCTTTTGGATGTGCGCGAGTCCGAGGCTCGGCGCGAGTGCCAGGCCGGCGAGTCACTTCATCAATCTGTTCATCGGACGCCGCGAGTCGAACGGACGCGCCGACTCTCGCGCGCGCCGCGGCGCGTCGACGGCGACGAGCGGACGCTCTCTCGGGGAGGCCCCGGAGCGCGGATCTCGCTCGGTCGGGGGATCACCGGAGGACAGGGCGCCGGGGATCCCTCGCTCGGATCGATCGCGCGGGGAGGCGACGGTTCGTTCTGTTCGGCACCGCGCCGCGCGTCGTGCGGTCGCGTCTTTGAAAACTAGCTAGATCGTCGGCATCGCGGAGCGCCGCGGCGACGCGTCGGCGCGCGCGATGACGGAGCCGACGGCGGCGTCGGAGTCGGAGACGACCGCCGACGCGACGATCGAGCGCGCGGACGCGACGGCGGGCGCGACCGCGGACGCGACCGCGGAGGACGCGTCGACGCCGGAAGATCGGACGGCGGCGGAAGACGGCGACGACGCGAACGCGAACGCGAACGACGACGACGCGGCGACGGCGACGGCGACGCGCGACGACGAGGATGCAGAGTACGCGAACGCCGTCGAAGAATCCACCGCGAGTTGGGACGACGCCGAGGACGAGACGCCGCCGAAACCGCCGCCGCCGCCGGACATCTTCGACCGGCTCTACCCGAGCGACGCCGACGACGACGAAGACGCCGACGACGCGGCGCCGGCGGACGCCGAGCGCGACGGCGAAGTCCTCGCGCCGCTCCTGGACGCGATACGCGACGTCGACGCCGGGACGACGCCGCTGGATCCCAACGCGCTCGGGTCGCTCGCGTTCGCCCTCGCGGGCGAGCTGAACGGGTACCTCGCGACGCGCGACGACCTCCCGGGCGCGCCGCTGAGCGACATGCCGGAGTTTTTAGTCGAAACCGTGGATCACCTCGGCGTCCTCGCGCGCGCGCTGACGTTCGCGCCCAATGACGTCGTCACGCAGCGCGGCGGCGCGACCGTCCCCGCGAGCGGGACGCACAGGGTCGCGGTGTTGGAGATCTTCGCGACGTTGCTCGAGATGGGGACGAAGGACGTCGACGAAGCCGTCGCGGCGTGTTCGGTGGTCGCCGTCGCCGCGTCGAGAGCCGGCGAGGGCGAGGGCGAGGGCGAGGGCGAGGGCGAGAAAGAGAAGGAGGGTGGGGGGAACGAAGGCGAAGGCGAAGGCGAAGGCGTGCGCGTCGGCGTCGTCGCCGCCGCGGCGGCCATGCTGTTCACGCACGCGCAGGGCACGCCCGCGCTGCGCGCCATCGCGCGGTTGCTCTGCGCCGCGCTCGCGAGCGACGCGGAGTCGCTGTGGACGCCGCTGTTGACCCGCGGCTGGGGCTCCGCCGCGGCCGAGGTCGGGGTCACCCCGCGAGATCGCGAGGACGAGACCGAGAACGCGGCGCTGCAGACGCGCTTGGCGGCCGCCGCGAAGGTGGCCGCGAAGGTCAAGCCCGGGAAGCGCGCGCCGAACGTCGGCGTGGCGCTCGCGGTGGCGGAGAAGCTGCGGGAGCTCGAGGGCGACGAGGATCCGCCGCACTTGACGCTGCGGGAGACGCTGCAGGCGGACGCGGAGTGGCAAGCGTGCGCGGGCGAGGGCGGGGCGCTGGACGTGCTGGACGTCGAGCAGAACGGGACGCTGTGCGGGCCGAAGCCGATCAAGCCGACGATGATGGGCGGCGGCGGCGGCGGCGGCGGCGGCGGCGGCGGGGGGGGGGGGATCTCCCTCGCGGGCATGCAGAACATGATGTCCGGGCGGGATCTCTTGCAGGTTCTGCAGTCGCTGTCCATGCGCCGGCAGCAGTGACGCGACGTGCGGTCGGTCGTCGTCGCGACTCGTTCTCTCGTCGCGCGCTCGTTCGATGTAATACCTATTCGTTCCGTAGACGTAAACAACGCTCTCGCGACTACGAGTACCGAACTCACGATCACGTCGCCCTTCGGCTGATGTTTTTAATCCCCGCGCCGATCGTGGACAGAAACACCGTCCCGCTGTCTCGCTCTGGTTGGATGTTAAACGTCACCCCGAAGAACGCCTTTAACGTCCGCAACGTGCTCACCGCCCTGGGCGTGAGCTGCCCCAAGCGCACCTTCGAGATCGTCTCCGGACCGATCGCCATGAGGAGCAAAACGAGCGGCTGATGCGTCGAGTCGCACACGCCGCCCCTCTGGATCTCCGCGACGAGCGCCTCCGTGACCGCGGCGCCGAGCTCCTCGGGGACCATGACGCCCCCGCGTCCCCGTTTTTTCCCGCCACCCTCCCCGCCGTCCCCGCCGCCGTCCCCGTCCCCGTCCCCGTCGTCGTCCCCGAACGGCGACCCGAGCTCCTCCGCGGCTGCCGTCCCCGCGCTCGACGCGACGTCCGCGCCGATCAGACACCCGGTCGTCGTCTCCGCGACGAGGGATAACCCAAACCCGGGCGTGCTCCGCCCTTTCTTCTGCCCGTTCTTCCCATCCCCCGCGTGGTGGTCCGTGAAGATGTACACGTCCGGGAGAAACTTGTTCAGCACCCCTCTCGACGCGTCCACGAGCCGGTTCCCCGTTTGCGGCGAAACCCGCAGCGTAAACGCGACGCCGCGGACGCGTTTCACCAACCCTTCGTCGCACCAGTCGATCGCGACGAGCGACCGCGCGATCGGAAGTTTCAGGTTGATCTCCCCGCCCGCGCCCGGGGAAACCCCGCGCTTCGCGATCGTCATCGTGAGCCCTTCCTCGACGCCGAAATTCCTCTTCAGCATCGGCAGCGTCACCGTGCGAAACGTGTCCACGCTCGTCTCCGCCTCGTCGTTCGTTATCCCGGTCAGGGTCAAATCCAGCGGCTTCTTCGCGAACAAGCAGAGACACAACACGACCTCTAAGAAGTACCCGATCCCCCTGGAGCTCCCGCAGTCGTGCGATATCCGTCGCCCGCCGGTCACGAGCCCGGGCTTGTACTTCACGCTCGTCCCGGACTCGTTGATCACGACCTCCATCCCGTTCGTCAGCTTGTCGACGAGGCGCAGCAGCGAGGCTTCGTAGTCTCTCAGACCCGGGTTCTGGTCGTTCACGCGGATGTCGTCGACGCTGTGATGGTGGTGGTGGTGGTGGTGGTGGTTGAACGCGATGCGCGACGTAGGGTGGGGGGCGAGAGGGTGAGGACGGGACGGCGACGCGACGCGACGCGACGCGACGCGCGATTGGAAACGCGGCGGCTGGCGGCGGACGGCGTTCGACGGACGACGGCGCGTTCGACGCGGGAGACGCACCGCAACGCTCGGTTCGCCAGCGTCGCGCACACGAGCCGCATGCGAAGGTCCGCGGCGCCGCTGAAGCGGACGTACTGCGTCGGCATCGCGCCCGAGGGGGGGGTCGCGCGACTCGTCCCCCGGCGGATGCGACTGCGAAAGTGATGAGTGATGAGTGACGAGCACCTTTCGGCAGCTCGCTCGATCGGGGATTTTCCGACTAAAAGTTTTGAAAGGGCGTTTTTCATCGTAAGCGCCGATCAAAAAAAGCATCCCGCTTGAACGTGTGAAGCCCGCGCGCGCCGTTCGGTCAGCTCGCGCGAGATCCTCCCCGGGCTCCTCACATCCCGCCCTCGCTGCGAGAGGACGCACGACGCCACGATGGGGAAGGGACGCGGACCCGAGGACTCCGACGATGACGCCGCGTTCGAGGAAGCGCAGCCGGAGACGGACGACGAGTACGCCGTCGACGAGGCCGAGCTCAGCGAGTCCGACGACGAGGCCGCGAACGACGATCCGCTGTCGCCGACGAAGATCAAGCAGGCGAAGATGGAAAAAGCGCGCATCCGCGAGCTGAAGAGGCAGCAGAAGGCGGAGCTGGAGAAGATGCGCGAGCAGCAGAACGCGGCGATCGCGAAGGTGTGCGCGCGTTCGGATCCGCGAGTAGGGTTTTTCGCGGGCGCGACGGCGAGATCGGCGTCGCGATCGCGATCGCCGCGCGCGTTTTTTGTCTTCTCGCGCTCTCCCGCCTCTTTCTTCGACGAACGATCGAGCGGCCGCGAGCGCGCCGACCCTAGCGACGCGCGCGCGCGACGCGCGCGATCCGAGCGATCCTCGCGGTCGCGCGCGCGACGCGATCGACGCCGGCGTCCGCGCCGACGCGAGGACGCGCGCGCCGCCCCGCCCGACGCGGGCGACCCCTCGCGACCGCGACGACGACGCGCGGAGCGCCGACGCGTCTTCGTTCATTCTTTTTTCTGAACCCCTCCCTTTTCCTATACCCTCCTCCTCCTCCTCCTACTCGCAGGACACGACCGGCGGGAAGTGGAAGTACCTCATGGCCCAGACCGAGGTGTTCTCGCACTTTCTCGCGGGCACCAAGGCGCACAACGCGCAGAAGGGCGGCCGCCGCGGCAAACAAGCTGAAGACGCGGAGGACGCGGAGCTCGTGGAACAGGCGGAGGAGTACCACGCGGTGCGTCTCACCGTGCAGCCGGAATGCATCAAGTTTGGTAAGATGCGCGAGTATCAGCTCGCGGGGTTGAACTGGATGATCCGCCTGTTCGATCACGGCATCAACGGCATCTTAGCCGACGAGATGGGCCTCGGGAAGACGCTGCAGACGATCTCTCTGTTGGGATACCTGAGCGAGTACCGAGGGATCACGGGACCGCACATGGTCGTCGTCCCGAAGTCCACGCTGGGGAACTGGATGAACGAGTTCAAGCGGTGGTGCCCGATGATCCGCGCGTTTAAGTTCCACGGCAACGCGGAACAGAGGCAGGCGCAGAAGGACGAGTACATGCACGCGGGCGGTTTCGACGTGTTGGTGACGTCGTACGAGATGATCATCAAAGAGAAAAACGCGCTGAAGAAGTTTCACTGGCGATACTGCATCATCGACGAGGCGCATCGCATCAAGAACGAAAACTCGCGTCTGTCGAAGACGATGCGGATGTTCTCGTGCAACAACCGGCTTTTGATCACCGGGACGCCGCTGCAGAACAACCTCCACGAGCTCTGGGCGCTTTTGAACTTTTTACTCCCCGAGGTGTTCGGCTCCGCCGGGCAGTTCGAAGAATGGTTCGGCACCGGCGAGGAGGGCGCGGAGAACGTCGAGGTCGTGCAGCAGCTGCATAAAGTGTTGAGGCCTTTCCTTCTGCGTCGTCTGAAAGCGGAGGTGGAGAAGAACCTCCCGCCGAAGAAGGAGATGATCTTGAAGGTTGCCATGAGCGACATGCAGAAGGACTACTACAAAAAGGCGCTGCAAAAAGACATCGAAGTCGTGAACCGCGGCGGCGACCGCTCGCGGCTTTTGAACATGGTCATGCAGCTGCGCAAGTGCTGCAACCACCCGTACTTGTTCCAAGGCGCGGAGCCCGGACCGCCGTACTTCACCGGCGAGCACATCATCGAAAACTCCGGGAAGATGGTCCTCCTGGACAAGCTCCTGACGCGGCTGAAAGAAAAAGGCTCGCGCGTGCTGATCTTCTCGCAGATGACGCGTCTGCTCGACATCCTCGAGGATTACATGATCTACCGCCAGCATAAGTACTGCAGGATCGACGGGAACACGTCCGGGGAGGACCGCGAGAACGCGATCGACGGGTACAACGCCCCCGGGAGCGAAAAGTTTGCGTTCCTCCTCTCCACGCGCGCGGGCGGCCTCGGCATCAACCTCGTCACCGCGGACACGGTGATCATCTACGACTCGGACTGGAACCCGCAGATGGACCTCCAGGCGATGGACCGCGCGCACCGCATCGGTCAAACGAGGGAAGTCTCCGTCTTCCGCTTCTGCACGGACATGAGCGTCGAGGAGAAGGTGATCGAGAAGGCGTATAAAAAGCTCGCGCTCGACGCGCTCGTGATTCAACAAGGCCGACTCCAGGAGAACCAAAAGAACCTGAACAAGGACGAGCTTCTGCAGATGGTTCGATACGGCGCGGACAAGATCTTCGACGGCAGCGGCACGGGCACCACGATCACGGACGAGGACATCGACACGATCATCTCCAAGGGCGAGGACGAGACGAAGATGTTGAACGAAAAGATGGCCGGGTTCACCGACAAGGCGCTGAAGTTTTCCATGGACGCGGACGCGAGCCTGTACGAGTTCGAGGACGAGAAGCCCCAGGACGAGAACTTCGAGGGGTTGGACATGAAAGCTGTCATCTCCGCGAACTGGATCGACCCCCCGAAGCGCGAGCGGAAGAAGAACTACAACGAGTCCGATTACTACCGCGACGTCATGGCGCAAGCGCCGCGGCAGCAGAAGGCGTCCGGGCCGAGAATCCTGAAGCTTCAGAACATGTCCGATTTCCAGTTCTACGACGTCAAGCGCACGACGGAGCTGTACGACAAGGAAGTCGCGCGGAAGCAGTACGAGTGGCAGCGCGCGAGGCAGCTCGAGGACCTCCAGAACAACGCGGTCCCGCAGGATCTCCCTCCCGAGGCGCCGAACGACCCGAAGCCTCTGAGCGAGGACGAACGCGCAGAGTACGAAAAGCTCCTCAACGGCGGGTTCTCGAACTGGAACAGACGCGATTTCCAGGCGTTCTGCCGCGCGTGCGAGAAGTTCGGCAGGGACGACGTCGAGGGGATGGCGTCCGAGATCGAGGGGAAGACGATCGCGGAGGTGAGAGAGTACAACACAGTGTTCTGGGAGCGTTACAAAGAGATCAGCGAGTGGCAGCGAATCATCGGAAACATCGAACGCGGGGAGAACAAGATTCAGCGCCAGAACGACATGCTGAAGGCGGTCAGGAGGAAGATCGAGATGTACAAGAACCCGTGGCGGGACCTCAAGATCTTATACGGCGCGAACAAAGTGAAGTCGTACACGGAGGAGGAGGATCGGTTCATGCTGTGCAGCATCCCGGAGGTTGGGTTCGGAAACTGGGAGGAGCTCAAGGCGCAGATCCGACAGCACTGGCTGTTCCGATTCGACTGGTTCATCAAGTCCCGGACGCCGAAGGAGCTCTCCCGGCGCGTGGAGACGCTCATCAACCTCGTGGAGAAGGAGTTCGAGGAGGTGGACGGGAAAAAGCGGCCGGGCGGCGGCGGCGGCGGCGGCGGCGGCGCGGCGAAGAAGGCCAAGGCGTGAGCGAGCGCGGGTGGCGAGGAGGAACCCACTCGTCGCGGCGCGGTTGGTCGTCTTCGATTCGAACCGGGCGCTCATTACCGCGCACGGAGCACGACACGACGCGCGCGCGCGCACGACGCGCGACCGCGCGGACGAACGAAACGAACACGATTGTAACGATGCAAATAAAGTTCAAATGAGTACAACCCGGCGCGTCGCCTCGTCGGCGACGCGCGAAAGAAACTCGACGCTTCGCGCGCGCCATCGAGTTACTCGCTCGCGACGAGCTCGCGACGCACCGGCGCGACGTCGTCGAAATCGCTGAAAACGTCGAACCCCGCCGCCGCCATCACGTGCTTCTGCGCGGCTTTCTTCGTCCTCGGCGTCGACGTCCCCGTGCTGCCGTTGAACAGCGACCTCACGTCCACGGACGCGGAAGCGCTGAACCCCGCCTTGGCTTTGCCCTTGTCGCCGGCGCCGCCCCACATCAGCACCCGCTCTGCGCGCGTGTTCCCGCTGAGCTTCGCGCGCATCGGGGACGTCGCCGGCGAGTGCGAGGGCGTGCAGTCGACGTAGTGCGGCTCGATGAGCGCGTCCGCGACGGGCTTAGGCAGCGGCGACGGCTTGGAGACCGACGGCTTGGAGACCGACGCGTCGGCGCTCGCCGCGAGCGCCGCGGCGACGACGTTGGCATCCACCGCCCCGAGCGCGGCGCGGCGCTTCGACGCGCCCATCGGGGACGTGATCTTCACCTCGACCCCGGACGCGCCCGCCTTCTTGATCGCCGCCGCGTTCTCCTTCGCCTTTCGCGCGACGACGTCCACCTGCGCCTCGAACGACGCGGACGCGCCGTTCGCGTCCGACGACGGGATGGTCGTCTTGGACGCCAGCCGCGCCAGCTTGTCCGGCCTCGCCATCGCGAGCGTCGGGTTGTGCGTCCACTCGTCGCACAGCGAGAGCTCCTCCCCGCGCGCGAGCCTGATACCGCCGGACGCGCACTTCGCCGCGGTCTCCGCGTCCATGAGCTCGATCTCGACGTCGTTGTCCATGTCCTTCACGAGCGTCAGCAGCTCGTTAAGAAAATCCTCCGGCGTCTTCTCTTCAAACGTCGCCAGCTCGTTGCGCCATTTTCGCGTCGTCACCGCGCGGCTCGCGTGGTCCGCCGCTCGCGCGCTGTGCAGCGTCGTGACCTTATCCATGAGCTGGTTGTTCTCGTCGTACAACCGCGCGCCGTCCTCCTGCGCCGCGATCGCCGCCTCCTCCGCGGCCTCCTTCTTCCTTTCCATCTCTTCGAGCATGCGCTCGACGGCGTTCTTCTCCGTCACGAGCTGCTCAAACTTTTTCTGATTCTCCGCGGCCATCGACTCCGTCGTCTGGAGCTTCGACTGCGCGTCCCTCAGGAGCGCTTCGATCCCGGCGACGCGCGCGGACGCGTCCTTCGCGCGCTTCTCGCGCTCCTCCGGCGAGAGGTTCTCGTTCTTCTTCCCGCCGTTGTCAAGCTTCTTCTTCACGCGGACTGCGGGTCGAGACGAGACGGGAACGGGGAACGTTCCGGAGTGAGTTTCGGCGATTCAGTCGGTCGTCGCGGAGGGGGATGAGCCGGAGCGTCGTTCCGCGCGTCGGACGGCGATTCGAAAGCGCGCGAGCGCGGAGGTCGAGGCGTGAGCGATCGGCGCTCGCGTGCTTCAGGCGCGACGATCGCGTCGACGCGGACCCGCGCGCGCGAGGCGTCGCCGAAGCTGCGCTCGCGGCTCAGATCGCGACAGAGGGGGACGACGCCTCCGAAACGCGAAACGGTCGAACGATTGACGACGAGAGACGCGCGCGCGCGACGCGAGCGCGCGCACCGACGATGGTCCCGGTCAGAGCCGCGCCGAGGACGAAGACGTGCGCCATCTTTCACGGACCGCGCCGGTTCGTTCCACGCGCGTGGCGGCGCGGCGGGGAGTGCCGGCGTCGCGACGTCGCGCGCGTCTCTTCTTCCCACGTCACGAGAACCGAGATTTCCCTCGCGGTCGGTCGGCCTAATGGTTTTTTGGAGCGGGGCGGGAGCGGGAAGCGAACTGATTTAGGAACGTTTGCGCACTCCGTCGGCGAGCGACGGACGACCGCGCACGCGTGCTCGACCCCCGCGACGCACGATGGCGTTCGAGGATGCGCTCCAGGAAGCGACCGCGTTCCTCCAGAAGACGAACGTCGACGGCGAGTCCGTGTACGAGCAGCTCGCGAAGGTCGTAGGTGCGTGCGACTGCTGACCGGACGGATGAAAGAAAGAACCCTCGCCCCGAGCGCGTCGATCCCGCGGCGTGGACGTCCGCTGTCGCGCGATCCCTCCTCGACGATCAACCGCGTCGTGCGCGCGCGTCGTTCGCGCGACGGGATCGCGGCGATCGACGTCCGCGCCTCCCTCGCGAACGCGAGGGCGGGTCAATTTGTTTTAATTGTCGTCCTTTTTTAGCCCGGGGTTGGGTCGCGCGCTCGAGCCGGGGCGGCGCGCGAGCCGCGGGGGAAGACGCGAACGGCGGACGATCGTCCGTCGGCGTCCGCGCGCGAGTGACCCACCCCACCGCGCGCGCGCCTCCGCGACGAACCCGCGATCGTCGCTCGCCTCGGGCACCGCGATCGGCGCCGGCCCCCGACCCGAATCGGGCGATTCGCTTCGCCCGGCTTCGGCGCGCGGAGCCGCGGCGCGTCGCTCCCGTCGAAAACGCGACTCACCGACCGCCGTCTCCCCCGTCCTCTCCGCCAACCCAGGCAAAATTCTCGATGAGAAACCGGAAGACGCGGTGGATCTCCTGGAGACGTCCCTCCTCGTGAAGAAGACGCAGTACGCCCCCCCAGATCCGATGTACGCGACGGTCAGGTCGAAGAACGCCGCCGCCGCGGTGATGTTCAAAGAGCTCTACAAGACGCCGAGCCCGCTGATCGATCCGGAGACGGGGGAACCGATGGAGGCGACGCCGCCGAACGACTTCGAGACGGAGAACGTCGTCGCGGACGCGGCGATGTACGACGCCTTAGGTCTCGGCCTATCCCGCGGCGAGATGTACGGCGTCATGCTCGCGATGAAGAGGCTCGGCGAGGACCCGGAGAAGAAGCTCGCCACCGTCCGCTTCTTCGGCAAGATGCTGGGCACGACGGCAGATTATTACGTCTTCGAGTCCACGCTCAAGGAGCCCGCGCCCGCGCCGGAGGGGGAGACCGCGGAGGGCGAAGTCCCACCGGAAGCGTCCGGGCAGGGCGCGAACACGTACACGTACTTTGTGTGCCAGACCCTCGGCGGGCCGTTCACGAAGCTTCCGGATGTCACCCCCGCGACGATTCGATGCGCGCGGCTGATCAAGCGTTACCTCACCGGCGATCTCGCCGCCGACGTCTCCGCGTACCCCGCGTTCCCCGGCCTCGAGGCGGACTACCTTCGCGCGATGATCGGGAGGATCGCGTCCGCGACCGTGGTGTGCCCCGCGGGGATGTTCACCCTGGACGAGGAGACGGGCGCGGTGAACAAGGTTGAGGAGTACGCCCCGGGCGCCGCGGAGGATATGGTGGAGCTCGATCGTTGGGCGCATCGGTACCCGCACGTGAAGCCGCAAGGCCGGTGCGAATTTTACGCCGCGCCGATCCCGGAGCCGGAGGAGGGCGAGGAACCCGCGGAGGAGGTGGAGCCGGAGACGTCCCCGGCGCTGCTGTCCACGCTCGACGCGGACGCGGAGAGCGACGCGATCGACTGGGGCGCCGCGGTGACGGCGAAGAACGAAGAGGGCGAGGAGGTACAGGAGGGACGGCCCGCGTGGGCGAGCTGCACGTCGTCCACGGTGCCGGGGGTGAAGTTCCCGGTGATCGGGATTAAGTCCCTGGTGTGGCCCGGCGCGTTCGTCGCGTACGACGCGTCCACGGGCGCGTTTTCGAACTGCTACGTCGGGTACGGGTTCAAGAACGCGCCGTTTGTGCCCGCGCCGCCGCCGGAGATCCAGAACGAATTCGGATTTACCCCCGAGCCGGAGCCCGTCGAGGAGGGCGAGGAAGCGCCGGAGCCGGCGGAAGGGGAGGAGGTTCCGGAGATACCGAAGGAGAGTTCTGAGCTCCCGCCGCTGCCGGAGCCGGAGCCGGAGCCGGAGGAGGGCGAGGGCGAGGAGGGCGCCGAAGGCGAGGAGCCCGCCGAGTAGATTTGGTTCTGACAGATGAAAATACTCTGCTTGAGGTTAATTCCACGCGATTCCCGGGACACAACACACACACGCACTCGCCGCACGCGCCACGCGATATCGTTGTCGCATGACCCGACCTGGGACGCGCAGATAGTCCACGCGCGCCATGGCGACGGAGCCGACCGTGTCCGATTATGAGAAGATCGGTGCGTCCCCGCGAGCGACCGACGCGCGATCCCTGTTCGCGATCCCTCCTAGTAGACTGTCCATTCGTTCTTCGATCGACGACTCGCGACGGGACTGACGATCTCCCCTCTCTCCCCGCCATCCCCCGCAGGACGCATCGGCGAGGGCACGTACGGCGTCGTGTATCGCGCGAGGAACAAGAAAACCGGGGAGATCGTCGCCATGAAGAAGGTGCGCATGGACAAAGAGAAGGACGGGATGCCCGTCACCGCGCTGCGCGAGGTCAGAATCTTACAAGCGTCGCGGCACAAGAACATCGTGAACCTCCTCCGCGTCGTCACCGGACGCAACGCGGCCGCGATCTTCTTAGTCTTCGAGTACTGCGAGCACGATATGTCGAAGCTCATAGAGTCGCACAGCTTCTCGGAGAGCGAGGTGAAGTGCCTCGTCTTGCAGCTCCTGCAGGCGGTGCACTTTCTTCACTCGAAGTGGATCTTCCACCGCGACTTGAAGCTGTCGAACCTCCTTCTGAACAACCGCGGCGAACTGAAGCTGTGCGACTTTGGGCTCGCGAGGTATTACCAGCCCGGGAACGACGGCGCGTACACGCCGAGGGTCGTGACGCTGTGGTACCGCGCCCCGGAACTTCTGCTGGGGACGGCCAAGTACGACGCCGCCGTCGACAACTGGGCCGTCGGGTGCGTCCTCGCGGAGCTTCTGAGACACGAGCCGCTGTTCCCGGGGAAAGCAGAGGTGGACACGTTGGAGCGGATATTCAAACTGTTAGGGTCGCCGAACGAGCGGATATGGCCGGGGTGGAGCGCGCTTCCGAAAGCGCCGACGTTTCGCCCCCCGGACCAGCCGTACAATTACCTCGAGCTCGAGTTTCCGAAAATTCCTCGCAGCGGCGTCGACCTCTTAAACCGGTTGCTCACGTACGACCCGAGGAAGCGATGCACCGCGAAAGATGCTCTGGAGCACGATTACTTCAAGGACCAGCCGCTGCCGAAGCGCCTGCACGACATGCCGACGTTCCCGTCCGCGCACGACGCGAACGTCCGGGGTCTCGGTCGCGAAAGCGCGGCGTCGTCCGCGTGGGAGGGCGCCGCGGCGGAGAAGGCGGAGCGACGCGACCATCGCGACAGGGGCGGGGGGGTGAAACGGCAGCGCGATCGATCGGACGAGAGGTACGGCTCCGCGTTCGGCGGGGCGAGAGGCGGGGGCGGGGGTCACAGACGATAGCGCGCACCCGGGTTTAAGCTCAAATCAAAAGTAGGAGCTCTTTCATGAACAACAAAAACCAGACATAAAAAATTCTTCGACGCCCGCCCGACGTCTCGCGTCGGTCGCGGAGTCGGACCGATCGAACGCAAGGCACGCGAACGTCGCTCGCGTCGCTCTTCACTCAACTCACGCGTTGTACCCGTCCGTCGTGATCGAGTCCGCGGAGTTCATGTCGGACCACACCGTGTGATGCCACCCCTCCATGTCCGTCCGCTCGTACGTGTGCGACCCGAAGAAATCTCTCTGCGCCTGGACGAGGTTCGCCGGAAGTCTTCCGCGGCGGTACGAGTCAAAGTACGCGAGCGAGCCGGACATCGAGGGCGTCGCGACCCCGGCGTTGATCGCCGCGGTCACGACGCGCCTCCACGACTCGTTGCGCTCCACGAGCTCGGCCGCGAACTCGCCGTCGACGAGCAGCGACGGGAGGTTCGCGTCCTTGTCGTACGCCTTCTTGATGCGGTCGAGGAACCGCGCGCGGATGATGCACCCGCCCTTCCAGATCCGAGCCATTTCGCCGAGGTCGAGCCCCCACTCTTGCTCCGTGGACTTCGCGCGGATGAGGTTCATGCCTTGCGCGTACGAGCAAATCTTAGAGGCGTACAGCGCCGCGCGGACGTCGTCCACGAGCTGTTTCTTCTCCTCCGCGGAGAGCTTCGGCGTCGCGGCGTCCGCGGCGGCGAGGCCGGCGGTCTTGTAGCACGCCTCCGCGGCGACTCTCTCGTCCTTCACGCCGGAGATGAAGCGCGCGTCGAGCGAAGATGCGATCGTCGGGATCGCGACGGAGAGCTCCGCGGCTTGCTGCACCGTCCACTTCCCGGTGCCTTTCATCCCGGTCTTGTCCAGAATCTTATCCACGAGAGGGCCGCCGTCGGCGACTTGGTCGTCCTCCTTCGCGAGAATCAGCGCGGAGATCTCGATGAGGAACGAGTCCAGCTCCGCGGCGTTCCACTCGTTGAACGCGGTCGCGAGCTCCGCGTTCGTGAGCCCGCCGACGGTCTTCAAGACGTCGTACGCCTCGGAGATGAGCTGCATGTCCCCGTACTCGATGCCGTTGTGCACCATCTTAACGAAGTTCCCGGCGCCGCCTTTGCCGACGAACGTGACGCACGCGCCGGAGTCCGTCTGCGCGGTGGACGCCGTGAGCACTTCCTTCACGGCCTCGTACGCCTCCACGTCGCCGCCGGGCATCATGGACGGACCGTTCCTCGCGCCCTCTTCGCCGCCGGAGACGCCCATGCCCATGTAGAGGAGGTTCTTCGCGTGCGCCTCCTCGATGCGGCGTTCGGTGTTCTCGTACCACTCGTTCCCGCCGTCGATGATGATGTCCCCGGGCTCCATGTGCTCGGAGAGGCCTTTGATCGTCGCGTCCACGGGCGCGCCCGCTTTCACGAGGATGATCACGGAGCGCGGCTTCTGAAGCGAGTTCACGAATTCCTTCATGTCCTTGTACCCGACGAGCTTGTCGCCGAGGCCTTCTTTCTGCGCGCGCGCGACCGCGTTGTCGGTCTTATCGCCGGAGCGGTTGAACACGGAGATCTTGAACCCCTTCTCCGCGACGTTCAGCGCGAGGTTCTGCGCGCGAGGTGGGAGGGGAAAAGCAGAAGATTTAGAAGATGAGAAGACGATCGGAACGAACGGAGTGAATCTTCGAAAAGTTAGGCGGTCCGAACGACCGTCGCGCGGCGGATCGCGCACCTGTCCCATCACGGCGAGGCCGACGAGGCCGACGCGGCTCTTTTCTTCGTCCGCCATGGCGTTGACGCGGACGCCTGCGGATTCGAGGACGCGGAGCGTGAGATCAGAGCGAACGACGGCGGGAAACGCCGCGACGGCGCGACGGCCGATCGCGAGCACGTGGTGCGCGAGAATTTATTAGGCACACCGAACCGGCGGCGATCCGCCTTCGCGCGCGGTCCCGAGGCGCGCGAGTCGTCGCGAGCGCCGCGATCGCCGCGCGGGGACGCCGCGCGATCACAGATCTAAGCAGAGGACGCACCGGAAGCGCGAGCGACGGGCTTGCGGGCCTTGTTCGACGCGGTCCTGAGGACGCGCGCGGAGGAGAGCGCGGGAGATGCACCGAGCGCGGCCGCGGCTGACATCGAGCGACGGCGATCGAGCGAAGCACCGAGCGGCGTTCGCGAGTGCGTTCGCGCCTGCTTGAGAGAGCGTCGAGGGCGAGTGCACGCGCGAGGTGACGGGCGTCGACCGGCGGTGTGCGTGCGTCTTTGACCGCGACGCGCGTGGCGAAGACGAAGTCTCGCGGCCGGCGGCGACGGCGCGTTCTTCGGTGACGCTTTTTGGTCACTAAATATCCTGTCGCCTTTCAAAGCGGCGAAGCGGTGCCCCTCCTAGCCTGGTCTGTCGCGGTTCCTCAGGGTCATCCCGAACCACGTTTTTCCTGCTACCCTAAACCTTTAGGTTATTAGCGCGTGGCGCGCAGCTGAACACAGCACGGAAGCTCGGTTTGAACGGAAGGAGTGAGCACCCGCGGGCCGCGGCTCGAACCGTCAGTCGGCCGCGCGCGCTCGCGGAGCGAACGACATCATGCGACCGTCGTCGCGGACGGCGTCGTCGTCGTCGTCGTCGCGCGTCCTCCGCGCGGACGCCGCGAGGACGCGCGGCGGCGTCTCGCGGTCGTCGCGCCCGGACGGCGGCGTCCGCGTCGCGGGTCTCGCGCTCGGCAATCTGTCGTTGCTTCTCCTCGCGCTCCTCCTCGCGCTCTCCGCGCTCGCGACGACCGCGGACGCGACGTCGGGGACGTACGTCGACGTCACGGTGTCGTACACCTCGCAAGTCGCGGGGCGGTTCGGGTACCAGCCCACGCAGCGCAGCGGGCAGAGCATGGTGCGCGCGCGCGTCCGTCCGTCGTTTGGATTTTGGATTCCAACCCGACCCCGCGGCTCGTCTCGTCTCTTCTCGTCCCCTCCTCCTCAGCTCCTCCTCTCTCCTGACCCTTCCTCGCCACGACCCGCGCGCCGCTCTCGTCCGTCCGCAGACGCGCGTGGATTCGACCGCGTCCGTGATGTTCGGCGGCCTCGCCGCCTCAGGGGTGTTAAACGACGTGTGGGAGTACAACCACTCGACCGGGTTCTGGACGCGTCTCCACGCGGGCGGGAGCACGCCCGCGGACGCGTCCGCGCCGACGGTGCCGCCGCCGCGGGTCGGGCACGCCGCGGTCGTGCTTCAGGGCGACCTGTGGATCTTCGGCGGGTACGACCCGGACGCGGGTGACATGAACGACCTCTGGAAGTTCGATCGATCGGAGGGGACGTGGTCGCAGGCGGCGCCGCTCGGAGGCGGCGCGAGCGCGACGACGTGGCCGGCGACGCGAAGCGGCGCGTCCGCGACCGCGTCGGACCCCACCTCGGGGACGAGTTTCGTGCTGTTCGGGGGTAACTTGAAGAACGACGTGTGGAGCTACGACGTCTCCACCGGGGCGTGGAGTCTGTTGATGAACGAGGTCGCGAGCACGTCGGACGCGGCGGCGGCGTTCGCGAGGTTCTCCGCGGCTGCGGCGGCGACGCTGGCGGCGGTGTCGTGCGCGGCGCTCCTCGTCGCGTGAGTCGTTCGTGGGGATGCGCTATAGCATGAGTAAAGTGAATTCCCGTAACGTATAGTGGACAACCGTTTTCTTTGAGGTCCACGTGTCCTGTTCTGCGCGGACGGCCGAACGAAACGGTCGCGGTCCGGTCGTCGCCGCCGCTCGCGCGATTTCTCCTGTCCTGTCGTCATCCTCGGACGACGCGACCTCGCCGGCGTTCATTTTCGATCGCGCGCCGACCGCGATGGCGGACGACCTCGCCGGGTTCCTCGCCGGGCTCGTCCTCGAGTGCGACGAGATCCCGAACAAGGACAAGCTCCGCGAGCTCAAGGTCGACGTCGGCGCGGACGAGCCGCTGACGATCGTCACGAACGCGTCCAACGTGAAGTCCGGGTACGCGTCGTCGAATATTTCATTTCCCTCTCGTCGTCGTCGTCGCGCGATGGACGGCGCCGACGCCTTCGACCTTTCGCTGACTCCCTCTCCGCGCCGAACGATTCGCGGCGTCGACTGACGCGCCACCCCATTCCCGCGATGCGCCCGTCTCGTCGCCCCGTCACAGGTCGAGAGTCGTCGTCGCGACCGTGGGCGCGGAGCTGAACGGGGAGAAGATTAAGAAAGCCTCCGTCGGCGGCGTCGTGTCTGAGGGCATGCTCGCGGACCCGCCGATGCTGGGCTGGGTCGGCGGCGGCGCCGGCGCCGCGGCGCTGCTCCCCGAGAGTTTCAAACCCGGGGACGCGCCGCCGAAGTCGCGCCCGAGGATGGATGGCGGCGGGGATCGAACCGGCGGCGGCGACGCGGCGGCGGCGCCCGTCGCCAAGAGCGTCGGCCCGGGCGTGGACGCGTTGTTCGAGAAGAAGCTCACGAAGGAGGAGAAGAAGGCGCTGCAGGAGAAGAAGAAAGCGGAGCGCGCGGCGAAGAAGGTGGCGAAGGCGGAGGGTGGCGGCGGCGACAAAGACGACGACGACTAAACATCACTCGTCGTCGTCGATCTGAACGGAATGGAAAAAAAAGCAAAACACATCAAATTCTGTCGGTCGAACGATCCGTCGTCAGTCGTCGTCCGCGTCCGCGGCTTCCTCCGCGAACCGCAGGAACACCTCCTCGAGCGTCGTCTGCCCGAGCTGGTAGTCCTCGATCCCGAGCCGCGTCTTGGTCCCCTCCAACGACGCGAACGCGCCGGCGACGGAGGCCTTCCCCCCTCGCGCGAGCGCCATGGACGGCAGGCGGTACCGCACCCGAGACGCGTGCGCCTCCGTCTCGCGCGCGCCGGGAATCTCCCGCTCGACGTGCCGTCGGACGCGCGCCACGTCAGCAACATTCGGTACCCTCAGATCTAACGTGTACCCCTCGCCGTACGCGCTCTTCAGCGCCTGGACGTCGCCCAAACATCGCATCTTCCCCGCGACCATGATCCCGACGCGCGCGCACAGCGCCTCGCACTCTTCCATGCTGTGCGACGTGAGGACGAGACACCGACCGCGCGACGCCGTCGCGAGCGCGCGCCACAGCCGCCGCCGCGACTTCGGGTCCATCCCCGTGCTCGGCTCGTCCAGGAGAACGACCGCGGGGTCGCCCACGAGCGCGATCGCGACGGAGAGCTTCCGCTTCGTGCCGCCGCTGTATCCCGCGGCGGGGACGTCGGCGTATTTTTCCAACCCGAGGCGTCGGATGAGCGCCGACGCGGCGTCGTTCGCGGCGGCGCGGGATAACCCGCGCAGCGTCCCGAAGAACGCGAGGTGCTCCCTCGCGGTCATCGTCCCTTGCAGAGCGTCGTACTGCGGGCAATACCCGACGTGCTGTCGCACGCGCGCGAGCTGGGTGAGGATGCTGAAGCTCTCGCTCGGCGGCGCGGCGGCGGCGGCGGCGGCGGCGGCGGGCGAGGACGCCGCGACGCTCTGGCTCGGCCGCGGCGTGACGATCGCGTCCCCGGCGCTCGGCGGGAAGTGCCCCGAGAGCATCTTAAACGTGCTCGTTTTCCCCGCGCCGTTCACGCCGAGGAGGCCGAAGCACTCGCCCTCGCGCACGGCGAAAGAGACGCCGTTCACCGCGCGCACGTGCCCGCCGCCGCGCTTTGGGTACCGCTTCTCGAGCCGTCGCGTCGTGAGCGAATGCGTCCGCGGCGCGTCCGGCGCGAGCGCGACGCGTCGCTCCGCCCTGACGCCCTCGTCTTCGTCCGGGTCGTCGTCGTCGTCGTCGTCGTATTGCTCGGGCGGCGCCGCGGCCCGCCCGCCGTGCAACAGTTCGCGCGCGCGTCCGACCGCGCCCCTCCACGCGCTCCCTCTGAACGCGCCGTATTCGATCGCGACGACGAGCGCGCCGTAGACGACCGTCGCGCACGCCATCGCTTTCAGCTCCCCGCCGGCGACGTCGTCGCTCCACGGCGACTTCGCGGCGGCGCCGGGCTCGGACCCGGGGGCGATGCTCTCGCCGGACAGCGTGAACAGCGCGCGGCCGACGCAGTAGTGCGGCAGCCACCGAAAGATAACTTCCAACGCGGCCCAGACGCGCGTCGCGGTGGCGACGCCCGCGGCGGCGAGGCCGGCGAGGACGACGCCGGCGATGAGCTGCGCGACGCCGAAGAAGAAATACGTCCCCATCTGCGCCGCGAGCGCGGCCATGTTGTTCTCGAACGGCCAGTGGAAGATGTACGCCAACGGTATCGCGGACGTGATGAACAACACGAGCGCGACCGCGATCACGGCGAGCGCGTCGCCGTCGTACGCGTCGAGGCCGGACGCGGCGAACGCGAGGAAAATCAAAAGAATCGGCGGGAAACACGCGAGAAGGTCCCACGTGTACGTCCCCGCCCAAAACACGCCGCGGTGCAGACCGCTCACGGTCTGCAAGTGCTTCGACGCGGACGCGCGTTCCCACACGAGAAACACCGCGACGGACGCGGACAAACACGCGAGGCCCATGATCACGCACAGACTCACGTTGAGCTGCATCAACATCGCCTGCTCGGCTTTCTTCTCCGGCGTCGTCGGCAGCGGATGGTTGATCGTCGTCATCGACGCCGCCGCGACGCCGCTCGCGTTCGTCGCGTGCAGAGCCGCGAAGAACGCGTCGTGCGCGGACGCCATCGTCGACGGCAGCGCGTGGAACGCCGTGGACGACACCGCGATCGTGTAGTTGAACACCCTCGAAGATTCGGACAGACGCAACGTCCCGGTCGCGGCGCCGGCGAAGAGACCCGCGCACGTCGGGAACGCGTGCGCGCCGCCGACGCACGAGCTCCGCGCGGAGACGGAGTTCTCGAGCAAGAAGCCGTCGAGCGTGGCGCCGGCGTCGTCGAGCGGCGTGCACTGATCGCACGCCTCCACGGCGGGTTCGCAGGAATCGAGGACGGCGGAGGCGTTCCAGCAGTGCCACGTCGCGTTCACGGTTTCGATCTCCGCGATTTCGTTCTCTTCGAACGCGCGCAACGTCCGCGCGTTCGACGCGCTCGCGAGGATTCTCTTCGCGACGCTCGCGCCCGCGGCGGTCGCGAACGCGAGCGGAAGATCGCCCACGAACGACGCGTCGTTCATCACAGCGGGCGGCGGGTCTCTCGCCGCGTCCGCGCTGATCTTCGACACGACCAGTCCCAAGACGACGAAGAGCAACGGGACGAGGTACATGGTGACGTGCGAGAGCTTATCCCGCCGCGCGTGCGTCAGGCGCTTCACGAGGACGGCTCTGTACTGCGCGCACGTCAGCGCGAGCCCGTGCACGAGCGGCGGCGTAGACGCGACGCTCGACGACGACTCCGGGTTCTCGACCGCGCGCGGCGGCGGCGCGAGCGCGGAGGACGGCGACGACGTCGCCGAAGGCGCCGGCGCCAGCGCCGGCGACGCGACGCGCGATTCGCGCCCCGAGCCTTCGCCCGCGTCGTCCGTCGCGTCGTGGAGCTCCGCGACGTTCAGGAAAACCTCCTCGAGCGTCGAGCAGCTCACGCCGACGGTGTCCACGCGCAGCGCATCTCGCTTATTCTCCAACGACGACAGCATCTTCGCGAACGATCCGCGCTCTCGCGCGGGCAGCGCGAACGTCGCCGCGGCGTTCGAGCGCGACAGAAACCGCGCGCCTTTAACGCCGTCGGTCACGAGCTTCGCGACCTCGTCGACGTTCGCGTCCGGCTTCAGCGACGCCGTGAGCGTGTAGCCGGTCCCGAACTTCGTCTTGAGGAACAGCGGAGACCCGACGCACGCGAGCTTACCGCTGGACATGATGGCGACGCGATCGCTCAAGACGTCCGCCTCGTCCATGAAGTGCGTGGTGAGCAGGATCGACGTTCCTCGAATGCGCTTGAAGCCCTGGATCACCTCCCACGTCGCGCGGCGGCTCTTCGGGTCCATGCCGCTCGTGGGCTCGTCCAGGATGACCACGGATGGGTTTCCTATGAACGCGATCGCGACGGAGAGCTTGCGCTTTTGCCCCCCGGACAGCGTCCCCGCTTGCGCGTCCGCTTTCGGCGTCAAACCGACGGCGTCGATCTTCGCGCTGACCTCGCCCGGGATCTCGCGCGCGCGCACGCCTCGTATCCGCGCGTACAGAACCAAGTGCTCGCGCACCGTGAGCGTCGGCCACAGCACGTCGAACTGCGGGCACACGCCGAGGTCGCCGCGGATCGATCGAACGTCCGTCGCGACGTTCAGACCGTTTACGAACGCGTCCCCCGCGTCTTGCGCGATCATCCCCGTGAACACCGAGATCGTCGTCGTCTTCCCCGCGCCGTTGTGCCCGAGCAGGGACGTGATCTGACCCGCGCGCGCGGTGAACCTGAGACCGTCGATCGCGACGGTCGACCCGAACATCTTGCGAAGGTTCACCGCTTTGATCGCGACCGGGACGCTCGACGACGCGTTCGATTCCGGCTCGACGCCGCCGGGGAGCGTCGCCGCGTCGGGCTCGGCGTCGTCCGCGATGGTCGCCGCGTCTGTCGCGCGCGGCGTCGCGCCGCGGCGGCGGCGCCAGTATGACGGCTTCGCGAAGAACAAGAGGCTCTCCGCGCGTCCGTACGACCCGGGCACGACCTTATCCAGATACATCGCGAGGACGCCGTACAGAACGAAGTTGAGGAGCGTCGCGAGCATGATCAACCCGGTGCCGAACACGCCGCTCTTCTCGCCAGTGTACTCGTCGCCGTCGAGTAAATTCACGTGGATGTTGTCCCAACGCACGCCCTCTTGCGCGTTCTCGAGAATCGACACCGCCCATCCCCACATGTAAATCCCAGACGCGGGCATCATGACGCACGACAAGAGCCACGACGTCGTCCCGTTCGGCGCGGACGCCACGGCGGCGACGCCGGGGACCCAGGTCAGGACGTAGAGCAGCGCGCTCGCGATCGCGGCGATCTTGCCGCTGCTGAAGAACGCGCTCAGAGTGAACGAGAACGTCACGAGCTGCGCGGTCCATAACGCCAAGAACGCGAACGTTACCGTCCAGTCCGTGTGCTGAAACGGGTACACGCCGACGAGCGCGACGAGCGCGGAGACGACGAGTAAACCCCCGTACGATGTCACGGACCAGCTGCTCCAATACACGACGTCGCCGAGGCCCATTATCTTCATCCCTTCGCGTATGCGCAGCTCCTTCTCGACGACGATGCCCTTCACGGTCGTTATGACCGTCGTCACGAACGTGAACACGAACACGAGGCCGAAAAACACCGCCGCGAACGTCGACCCCAAGTTGGTGGAATACTCCGGGAACGGAAACGCCTTCACGGCGGTGAGCAAGGACACCGGCGGCAGCGCCCCGACGGCGATGTCTTCCGCGGCGCCGGTCGTCGACGCGTCGACGAGCGACACGCGCATGAGGGACTGATCGAACGACCGCTGGAGGTTCGCGAACGCGTAGTACTTCTTCCACTTCGCGCTCTCGCCGACGACCCAGCGTTCAAACTTTTCGCTCGCCCACCGCGCGCCCTCGTCCCCGGTGGGGACGTCCGTCGCGTTCACGCGCACGCTGTACGTGATATCGCGCGAGATCGGGGACAGATCGTTCGGGAGGATCACGACGCCCAAGACGCCCGGGTCGGCGTCGCTCGACGCCGCGGCGGACGCGATGCGAATCGCTTCCGTCTCGTCGACGGCGCCGACCAAAAAAGTCTCAATCACCGGGCGGTAACAGCTCGGCGCGTTCACGCACCCGACCGAGCACAGCGTCGCGCGCAGAAGCGCGGGCGGAAACAACAGCGGCGAGTCCAGAGGCATACCGTTCTCCCGGGGCTTCAAGAACCCGGCCGCGGCGTCCACGCACGAGGACGGGTCGCGCTGGCACGTCGCGAACGCGGCGTCGAGCGGCGACCCGGCCGATTCGCCGCCGCCGCCGCCGATTGAAAACTCATTCGTCAGCGCCGCGGCGTCCACCTCCACGGCCGCGGCGAGCGCGACCTGCTGCATGAAACTCGGAACGAACGCGCCGCTCCCGCCGCCGCTGCCCCCGCCGCCTTCGCCCTCGTCGACCGCGAACGGAGGGCCGCACACGAGGTCGATCGCCGCCGCCTCCGCGGTCGCGCGGTGATACCTCGTGACGTTCGGCGCGTAGACGACTTTATACGCGCCGGATCCGCCGCCCGGGGCGACGCCGCTCCACGCGAGGCTCTGGATCGGGTTCGGGCGGTGGAACGCCACGCCGTGCGACTCGTCGGATATGAGCGCCCTCGGGAGGCACATCAGACCGACGAACGCGATGGGCACGAGGAGTTCGAGGAGGAAGCAGAAGAAGCTCGCGCCTCTGGTCTTCAGCGTCCAGTTCTTCGCGAGGACCGCGCGGAACTTGGCGAGCTCGCCGCCGACGGCGCGCCGCGACGGCGACGCGGCGGAGGGCGGCGAATGCGACGGAGGCGCGCGCTTCCTCTTTCGTCGCGGCGACAGCGGGTGCGGCGACATCGGCGACGCGTCCAAGATGGAGACGTCGTCGATGGAGACGAGCGACGGAGGGGTCGTCGCGGACGACGACGACGACCACGACGCGCGAGAGAGGCGCGGGCGCGGCTCCCGAGGCGAAGCGCGCGACGACGTCGACGACGTCGTCTTCGCGCTCTGGGGGGAGGAGGCGCGATCGCCGCCGCCACGGGACTCGAGGTCGAGCCGCGACGCGTTGGACGAGCGCGGCATCGTCGGCGACGCGCGAGGGCACGGCGGCGCGACGACGACCGCGCGCGAGCGGAGTGCGCGCGCGACGCCTCGAAACTCGAGCTCGCGCCGCGAAACGCTCGCGCTCTCGTCTCGGCGACGCCCGAAGCGGCGCGAAACGAGCGCGGGAGGGAGATCGCCGCGAGGGGCGCCTCGAGAAGCGCGCGCGCGACGCCTCGTCTTCGCGTTCGCGCGCGGGGAGGTGTCCGGGCGCGGCGGCGCACCGAAGCTGGAAGGTCGCGGAAGGGAAAAGAAAGCCACGACGCGACGACGCGCGCAGCTGGCGCGTTTTTACCGGCTAGGGACGGAACCCTCACCGAAAAACGACTCTGCTCTGGAAACGTCGTCAGAACGCGATGGGGCTCCGCACGCGCGCGCTCGCGCTGAGGGCGCTGGGGTATCCCAAGTCCCCGCCACCCGCGGACCTCGCGGACGTGACCTTCCGCGAGCTTGTCGTGTGGCTCGAGGACACGAAGATCCGCGCGCTGCCGATGGACAGCCGCGGCCCGCTGAGGGACGTGCGCGCGTCGGATTGGCCGAACGCGCTCGCGGCGCTCGCGTCGACGACGGGATCCGACCTCGACGCGTCGTCGCCGGCGAAGGCGCGCGAGGTCCTGGAGCACCTCCTGAGCCATGCGGTCGGGCTCGACTACCGCGACGACGCGGACAACCTCGGCGGCGTCGTGAAGGACCTGAAGAGGGCGTCGATCGCGACCGGACCGCCGTCGAAGCGGCAGCGATTAGACGCCGCGGCGACGACGACGACGCGGCCGCGGATGCGCGGCTGCGGCGACGACGCGCTGATCGCGAAGCTCGGAGAGCTCGCGGCCGCGCTCGGGATTCAACCCGCGGCGGGAGCGGACGCGGACGCGCTCGCGGGGGCCTGCGCGCGCGGCGTCGAGAGGCTCGTCGCGCCGTTCTGGTCGTCGTTCGTCGTCGACGACGACGCGCCCGCCGCCGCCCGGAGCGACCCCGCGACGACGACGACGACGACCAAACCCAAACCGAAACCATCCAAACGGCGCGCTTCACCGCTGACGCGATGGACCCTCGACCCCGCGGCGTTCCCGAGCGGCATCGACCTCCCGGACGGCGCGCCCGCGACGCTGACGGCGGCGGTGAACGCGTTGCGGGTGTTACACGTGAACGACCTGCGCGCGCTGCAGAGCGCCGTGGACGCGCTGCTCGTCGCGATGCAGGAGCACACGTCGGACCCGAGAACGGATAGCAAGCTAGGGAGGGTAGGGAGCGGATGAAGTGCGCGTCTGCGCGCGCGCAAACGACCGACTGTCCGCGCGCGCGCGGGCGGGAGGTTGGGGTAGAAATGATATAGATTCGTTCGATAGACTGGCGAACCGGCGCGCGTTTCGTTTCGTTCGACGACACCGTCGGCGGTCCCCCCCCCCCGTCGCCCGTCACGCGTCGAATATCGCATTCACCCCCCCCGGAACGAGCTCCTTCCGCATCAGCACGACCCCCCCGCCGTCCGCGCTGAAGAACCGGCGCATCGCGCTCTCCCTCTTCATCTCGTCGTACCCGGCGCTCTCGTACAACGCCGTCGCCGCGGCGTCGTTCGCTCTGACGTGCAGCCACACGTCCGCGCCGCCCATCTCCACGACGAGATCGTCGCACGCGCTGAGAAGCGCCCTGGCGAGGCCCTTCCGTCGGTGCGCCGCGTCCACGGCCATGTTGCAGAGGTAGGGCGCGTCCGTCGGGACGGGCAGCGACCCGGCGCCGGCGTCGGATCGCGCGCCGCCGTTCGCGGGGTCGCCGCGCGCGCGCGCGGTGAACGACAGCGACGCGATCGCCACGGGCGTCGCGGTCGCGCGGGGGGACGCGTCGCCGTCCTCCTCGCCGCGCGCGTCGTCGTCGTCGTCGTCGTCGCCGAGCACGGCGACCAGGCAGATCTCCTCCGGGTTCGGCTCGAGCTGATCGAGGAGGTACTTGGCCACGCGCGCGCGCGGGCGCTCGTCCGGGGTCCCCTTGAACGCGCCGGACATGACCTCCGTGAGCGCTCGCACGTCCGCCGCGCGCATCGGTCGCACGGTCGCGACGTCGTCGTTCGCGAGCGGCAGCCGCGCGCGCTTGAACGCGGCCTGCGCGAGGAGGAGGTCGTGCCGACGCTCGACGGAGCCGACGGCGTCGGTGAACGCGCGGAGGCGAGGAGGGCGCCCTCTCGGTCGGAGGCGCGACGCGTCCTCGTCGGCGCGGCGGCGTCGACTCGCGCCGCCGGCGCGCGCGCGCGCCGCGGGCGGCGCCGCGCGCGCGACCGCTGCCATCGGCTCCCGGCGCGCGGACGAAAGTGCTGAGTCACAGGTGCTCTCCGCTGCTGGCTTTTTTTTCGTCGCGTCGTCTGACTATCGTAGCCCTCCGGGCGCGAGACGCGGAGAGAACATCGCGCGGTATCTGGTCGTCGACGCGAAGAAACGATAGGCGCGGGGGAGTCGTAGAACGAAGAATACGTCACGTCGTCGTATGAATTATTACACGCCACCGCGCGCGCGCTCGGGTCCCAGACGACGCGCCGCCCGCGCCGCCGCCGCCGGACGTCGCGCGCTTCGTCGGGCGCGACGGTTCTCCGTCGTTCCTTCGCGTCGTCGTCCATCGCATCATTCGAGCGACACCTTGCGCGCCATCGCCTCTTTGTGAATGAGGTGATTCGCCTTGTCCAACGTGCTCAGCAGCTTGTCGATCTTCCCCACCCACTGGTTCAACAGCCAGTCCGCGCCCTGCGCTTTCGTCTTGAAGTCGACCACCCCGCCCGGTCGGTCGATCTTCGCGCTCACCTTTTTCGCCACGACGAGGTCCGAGAGGTGCTTCTCCGTCTCGTCCGGCGGGAGGCACAGGAGCTCGCCCAGGCGCGTCATCGTCACCCTGGAGTAGTACGCCCCGATCACGAGGAGGTTATGCTCGATCACGCGCTGCCTCAAGTCTGCGCGCCTCTTCTCCCCGCGCTTCGAGTCCCCGAAGATGTCCGTCTCGTGCGCCATCTCCGCGGCGAACGCGCCGGAGAGGACGTCCCAGTGAATGATTTCCTTCGTCGTGAACTGCTTCGTGAGCTGCTTGTGCAGAGGGAGGTCGATCAAGCGCGTGTCCTTGCTGATGGAGTGCAACAGCGACTGCTGCATCGGCTCGTTCGCGGCGAGGGTGACGTACCACACGACTTTTTTCAGCGCCGCGGTGCACTTGGCGGCGTCGTCTTTGATCCCGTCGCACTCCATGACGTTTTGGTAGCACCGGCACACTTCTAAGTAGTCGTCGCTATGGCTATGGAACCGGATCATGAGCTGGTAATACCGAAGCTTCAGCTCTGGGACGGAAGGAATCGTCGGGTCCGTGGCTTCGAAGTATCCCTCCGCGTGTTCCACGGACGCGTTCTTCTTCTTCTCCTCCGCTTCTTTTTCCTTCTCCGATTTCGGCGTCCCCGCGTCGAGGTCCATCTGCGACACGTCTTCGCCCGCCTTCCTCGCCGCCTCGATCGCCGCCTTCTTTTCCGCTTTGACGATCTCGTCGAAACTCCGCGGGTTGATCTTCCTGCTCAAGATCTGCGCGCGGACGGTGTCGCCCTTGTCCAGGCACAGGCGGACTTGCTCCTCGATGAAGAAGAGCTTTTCGTGCTTGGACAACGCGCCGTAGGTTTCCACGGCCACCTCTTGCATGATCTCCGCGGCTTCGTTCGTTAACCCAGCCTCTTCTTTGATCTTCGCGAGCGCGCGCGTGAGACGCGCTTTCTCGACCTCGACGAAGATCTTCCCCGCGGTGACGTCGTTTAACGTCTCGATGAGTTTCGTCTTCACCTCCAGGTTGGGCGCCTTGTCCACGAAGGTCATCGCCTCCTTGACCATGGCTCCGACGGCTTGCTTCAACTGCGCGCGGCGCTTCGAGAGCAGCACGATGTGGTCGTTGATGCCGTCCCAGTCCCCGGCTTTGAACAGGACGTCCAGGATCGCGACGCAGAAGCGCGGCGTGGCGACGAAATCCGCTTGCTGTCGAGGGAGGAACGATCGATCGATCGATCGACGGGGAGGGTGAGTTTCCTCGCGGACGAGACGGCGCGGAGAGAGAAGATCAACGGGCGGGCGAGATCTGACGCGCGATCTGGGGCGTCGACGGCGCGGGGACGGACCAGGCGGTAGGTCTTCTCCTGCGCGAGCATCTTCTCGATGACGGCATCGCGTTTGTCAGCCTGCGGTGGAGCGGACGCGGAGGGAGCGAGGTCAGTCGAGGTCGTTCGAGGTCGTCGTCATCATCTCGGGGGGGCGAAGCGCGGACGGAGAGACTTTTTCGAACGACGCGCACCTCCGTCGCCTCCGTCTTCAGCGCGTCGATCTCCGCGAGGACCTTCTCGAGCTCGGCGTCGCCTTTCTTCTCTAGCTTTAACTCCCCCATCGCGATCCGTGATCGGGTTCGGCCGCGGTCGTGCGTGCGACGGCGCCGCGGGCAGTGATCGCGCGACGGTCTTCGGCCCTCTCGTGAAGAGTTCACAGCGGTCGCGGTCGCCGACCGCGCCGCGCTTTCTGTTTTCGTTGTTGGTTCCCACAAAAGGCTCTCATCTGGGCGAGCGTCCGCCGGAGTTCCCCGCGCGCGGGCGCGGGCGCCATGTCCTCCCTCGAGGACTGGCACTGCCCGGTGTGCCGCGACATGCTGTGCAAGCCGGTGGTGAACGCGTGCGGGCACGTCTTCTGCTTTTGGTGCGTCCACCGCGCGATGGACGGCCTGGGGACGAGCCACTGCCCTTTGTGTCGCGCTGACTACACGCATCTCGCCGCGCCGTGCACCGCGCTGAGCGAGCACCTCGCGCGGACGTTCCCCGCGGAGTACGCGAAGCGCCTGCGCGAAAACCTGGACGAGGAAGAGGCGAACGCGTACGGGAACAGCCCGGACATCCCCGCGAGCGTCGTGCTCGGCGGCGACGCGCGCGACGACGACGACGACGACGACGACGACGACGACGACGACGACGACGACGACGCGACGCCGCTCGAAGGCCGACCGCTGTTCGACGCGCTCGAGGGTCGACGCCCGACGCCGTCGCCCGACGCGTCCACGTTCGAGTGCTGCTACTCGCACGACGCGGACGTCGTCTCGAAGGCTGAGCCGGGCCCGCACGCGGCGTGGGAGCCCGTGGTTCTGCTGTGCGGCTGTGTCGCGTGCAAGGGGTGCCACGCGCGACGGAGCGACGGCGCGAGGTGCCCGCGGTGTCGACGACGCGTCGTCCGCGACGACCCGGAGGTGTGCATCTTGATGCACGAGGTGATTCAGAGGAGCGCGTTCGCGGAGGAGGCGAGGGAAGGCGCGGCGCGACGCGCGGAGGAGGCGAGGGAAGGCGCGGCGCGACTTGCGGAGGAAAAACTTTGGTCGTTCAGATCGGGGTCGAGGTCGACGAGCTCGGCTGATGAGGAACAACCGCCGGCGCCGCGCCTCGGAAACTTACCGGGCCGCGGCCGCGTCGTAAACCCGCTGACGTTCACGCACTTGGGCGTCGGATGCGACGTGTGCGGGGTGTACCCGATCAGAGGCCGACGGTACCACTGCAAAGATTGCCCGAGGGAGCAAGGCGGCGGGTTCGACATGTGCCAGGCGTGCTACGAACTCGACGACGCGGACGTCGCGGGGGAAATAGATATAGGCGGCGCGGTCATTCGAGGGAGGTTTAACCAGACGCATCGCCCGGGACACCAGATGCAAGAGGTCGCGGCGCGACCGACGCTGCTGCATTTCTTACAAGACGTGCATCCGGAGCTGTCGCCCGCGCAGATTTTGGACCTCGTGCAGATGGGGATCAGCCGCGAGGAGGGCGGCGGCGGCGGCGGCGACGGCGAGGCGAACGCGGTCAACGCCGCGGTCGACGCCGCCGTGGACGCGGTGTCGAACATCGCGGCGATGGGGACGCACGACGCCGCGACGATGGAGGCGGAGGCTGAAGAAGAGCTCCTCGGGGAGACCGAAATAGACCTCCTCAGAGAGATATCCGAGAACTTCGAGGACTACATCCCTGAGGACCTCAGGGACACCCTGGACGCGGACGACGAACACGACGAATACGAGAGAACCGACGAGTGCGACGAAGACGGGTAGACGGGCGCGGTGGTCTCCACGCGCGACGCGAACGGCGATAGCGTGGAGGACATCGACTGATTGTCGAGACGCGCGACACGCGACGAAAGGAACATCTACAACGTAGGCTACGTAGATCTATAATAAATAGAGAAAGAACGCGGTACGCGGTACGCCTTCAGCGCGCCTCGTCGCCGGCGGTGAACGGGTTCGTGCTCGGCGCGGCTTCCGCGGCTCGACCGCCCACGCGCGGCGGCGGCGGACCGAGTTCCTCGTCCGCGTCTGGAGGCCGCGGCGGGTAATCGTCCTCGTCCGTCTCCGCGTCGCCCTCCGGCTCCGGCTCCGGCGGCGGCTCCACCTTGGGCTCCGCGACGAGCGACTCCACCCTGACGTCCTCGCCGTCTTCGTCGTCCTCAAAGTCGTCGTCGTCGTACGCGCCGCCGCCGCCGTCGGACGTCGCCTCGAGCTCGTCGGACACGAACACCTCGCTGGACTGGCTCCGCGCGAGCGCGTTGAGGAGCCCTTGCATCGTCTCCTCCGTGCGCCTGAGCTCGTCGTCGACGCTCGCGGTCGGTCGCGGTCGCGATCGGTCCGTCGCCGCGGCGGACGCGTTCGTCGCGAACGGGTTCGTCCCCGCGTCGATCACCTCCGCGTCCGCGTCCGCGTCGATCGCCTCCGCGTCCGCGTCCGCGTCGAGCGCCTCCGCGCTCGTCTCGTTCGTCGTCCCGGACACGTCGAGGCTGTTGTCTACCGTCGTGTCCCCTTCGTCCGCGCGCCGCGCGTCGCCACCGTCGCCGCTGCTCGGCGTCGCCGTCGCCGACGCCGGCGCCGACGCCGGCGCCGTCGCCGCGCCCTCCGCGTCCGCGATGGCGCGAATCGCCGCCTCCAATTCCGCAGCCTCGTCCGCGGCGGCAGCCTCGCGCTGCTGCCGCCTCTCCTCCTCGTTCTCTTGATCCCGCAGCGACAGCCACATCGCCTCCATGACCATCATGTCCTCCATGTCCAGCGTCCGCCCGTTCGCGTCCACCGTGGACGGGCTGTTCAGCAGACGCTCGGGGACGTAGTCTTGGATCATCCGAAGAAACGACGGGTCAATCTCCGTCGCGGGAGGGTCGCGCTCGATCGTCCTTCTCGATCGCCGACCGATGATCGGGGCGCCGTTTCCGTTTCGAGCGCCCGCGGGCCCCGCGCCTCCCGCGGCCGCGCGCTCGTCCTCGTCGACCGCGGCGTCGATGTCGCGCTGCAAATCGCGCCGCCGCCGGCTCCGGCTCCCTCGGCGATCCGCCATCGCCGCCGCCAACGCCGTTCGCATCTCAAAGCTCAGCTCCTCCTCCCTCCCGCCGCCCACGCCGGGGTCGCTCGCGCGCTCGCCGCCGAGCGACACCGCGCGCCCGTGGTCGTCGCCGTACGTCCGCCCGCTGATCGCGCCCGCGACGGTCGGCCGCGTCCCCGCGCTCGCCGGCGTCGACCGTCGCGAGCGCGCCGCCGCCGGGTTGGCGCGTTGCGGCGTCATCGCCGCGTACTCCTCCTCCCACCCTTCGGGGATGTCGCTCTCTCCGCGCGAACCTTCGCCGCGTCGATTCGCCGTCGTCGGCGACGTCGGCGCGGATTCGAAGTCCGTCGACGTCTCCTCCGCGTCGTCCCCGAGCGCCATCGCGGCGCGTTTCTCTTGTCTCCGCGCCTCGCGTTCCCTCGCGCGTTGGAGCTCGTGCTCTTTCGCTTTTTTCTCCGCGGCGGCCACCGCGGCTTCCTCCTCCGCGGCGGCCGCGCGCTCTTCGTCCGTGCGGCATCCTCGGAACTGGACGGAGTACGACGGCGTCTTACAGAACGGGCACTGCACGGTGACGTGACGCGCCGGCGCTTTGAGCTGCAGGAAGCACTCCGTGCAGATGCCGCTGTTGCAGCACTTGGAGTGGTTCAGCGAAGGGTAGGACAGGAAGCATATCGGGCACTCGTCCAGGTCTTGCTTCTTCACCTTGGGAGAGCCGACTTTCCACGCGTCGTCGTCGTCGTCGTCGTCGTCGTCGTCGTCCGCGGCGTCGTCGCCGACCTCTTTCCCGGGGTAGCACGGCGCGAGCTTCCCTTTCACGATGAGCCGCTTCAGTTTTTTAAGGTCGACGTCGTCGTGATCGTACAAACCTTGCGGCCGCGTGTATCGGTCGTCCATGCGCCCGGACTTGGACGACCGCTTCTTCAGCGTCGATGACTTAGCCCCCTGCGCGTTGGGAAGACACGCGAAGGAAACGACGGGGCGTTGGGCCAGGAGGTGAGCGAGGAGGCGGGGGAGGGGGGCGCGGGAGGCGGGGAGGTGTCGTGGACAATTGTTGACACGACGGGCGGGAGGGGCGGGGACGACGAAATTTATGCTTCTGACGCACCATCGCGATCACGCGCGGTGAGGGTGTTACCCGCTCGACGCGCGCGGACGCGACGCGGGGTCCCCGCGCGGTTCGTTTGTGTGTTCCCGCGAACGAAACGACGCGAGTGTCGCCGCCGCGGCGTCTCGGGCGCGGAGCAATGGGCTCTCGGGGCGCGACCTTGACAAGACACGTTGCCGGAACAAAAAAAAATCCCGATTCCGACGACGACGGCACGGAAAATTGTCAAGTCTCTCGGGACGACCACGACTCGACCTCGCTCTCCCGCGTCACCGTTCGAAGCGCCGCGGCGCCGGAGCGTCGTTGATGCCAGCGGGAGCGTCGTGCGTCTCGCGAACGCGCGCGCTCGTTCCCCGCAGAGCGCGGAGACCCAGCGCCGTCGTCGCCGCGGACGCGGCGAGCGCGCGTCGTCGTCGTCTGTCCGACCGTCGCGGTGAATTCGTCGGCACCCCGTCTCCGAGACGATCGAATCGCGTCGTCGTCATGTCCTCCTCCCTCGCGGCGACGGGCGCGGAGACGGGCGCGGAGACGCGCCCCAAAGTCGCGGTCGGGCAGATGTGCGCGACGGACGACGTCGAGGCCAACTTCCGGACGTGCGAGAAGCTCGCGACGCTCGCGAGCGACGCGGGATGCGCCATGTTATTCCTCCCCGAGTGCTTCGCGTTCATCGGACGCAAGGGCGAGGACGCGCTGGCGATCATGGAACCCCTGGACGGGCCGCTCATGACGCGGTACAGAGATCTCGCCAGGGCAAAAAACATCTGGCTCTCCTTGGGCGGGTTCCCGGAGCTCGGCCCGGACGCGGGACATCGGTTGAACGCGCACGTGCTCGTGGACGCGGACGGCGAGATACGCGCGAGCTACCGAAAGATCCATCTCTTCGACGTGGACGTCCCGAACGGCCCGCTGCTCATGGAATCGAAGACCGCGTCGCCCGGCTCGGAGATCGTCGCCGCGGACTCCCCGATCGGCCGTCTCGGGATGATGATATGCTACGATCTTCGTTTCCCGGAGCTGTTCAGCGCGTTGCGGTACGAGTGCGGCGCGCGCGTGATGCTCGTGCCGTCCGCGTTTACGCGTCCCACCGGCGCGGCGCACTGGGAGGTGCTCTTGCGCGCGAGGGCGATCGAGACGCAGTCGTACGTCATCGCCGCCGCGCAGTGCGGCGTGCACAGCGAGGGGAGGGCGTCGTACGGGCACTCGATCATCGTAGATCCGTGGGGGGAGGTGATCGCGAAGTTGGACGACCCGGACGAGGGCGTCGGGATCGCCGTGGCGAAGATCGACCTGCGCGGGTTGGAGGAAACTCGCGCGAAGATACCGATCGAGACGCACCGTCGGGGGTTGGGCGACAGGACCGCGTTTCCCGTGACGATCGCGGAGATGTAGCGTACACGTAGCTAGCGAGAAGGAAGGATTTTTAAATGAATGGTATTACTCGTTCGTTCGTTCCGCGTTTCCGTTTCACTCGATTTCTTTTTCGTCGGCTTCGCCTCGCCGTCGCGGCTTCTTCGACGTGGCTCCAGCGCGCGTTATTTTCGTTCGTCGCGGTGTGACTAACGCCGAGTTGCGTACAACACGTGCTGGATGCCTAAGCGCGGCGAGCATGCTTTCGCTCGCCGCGCGCGTCTATTCTGCGATAATTACTTTCCGAGGCGCGAGAGGATTCCTCCTCCTCCTCCTCCTCCTCCGCCGCGCCTGCGACCGCTGCGCTTTTTCGCTTTCTTGCCGCCGCCGCCTTCGTCGGGCGAACCGCCTCCCCCCCCCCCCGCGCCGCCGCCGCCGTCTCGTCCTCGTTTCCGAACGACGACGACGCGTCTCGGTCCGTCGCGGTCGCGGTCCTGGTCGCGTCCTCTCCCGCCGTCGCCGCCGCCGCCGGAACCCTTGCCGCTTCTCGGCCGGGCGACGACGACGCGGCGCACCACGGGCGCGGGACGTTCGTCCTTGTCGCGGTCGCCGCCGTCTCTGTCGTCGTCGCCGCCGTCCTTATCCTCCACGGCGTCGTCGTCTCTCTCTTTTCTCGACCCGCGCCTTCGGTGGTGGCCCTCGGAATCGGACCCGTCGCCGTCGTCGTCGTCGTCTCGACCGCGTCTCCCGTCGTCGTCGTGGTCGCCGTCCTGTTCTTTCTTTTCCTCGCCGCCGCCGTCGCCGCCGCCGTCGCCATCGCCGCCTTCCTTCTCGGGGCTATCACGGCGTTCCTTCTCGGGGCTATCCTCCCTTCTGCCTCCGCCGCCGGTGGGGCCGTTTTTGCGCCTGCGGATGACGACCTTCCTGGTGACCTCTCCGACTCCAGTGGGCGCTTTCTCTTGCTGCGCGCCGCCGCGGCCGCGGCCTCGCCCTCCCCCGGGACCGCCCATCCCCATCCCCATGCCCATCATCCCGGGCATCCCCATCCCCATCATCCCGGGCATTCCCATGCCCATCATCCCGGGCATCCCCATCATCCCGGGCATGCCCATCATCCCCATGATGCCCGGCATGCCCATGCCTCCCATGCCCATGCCCATGCCCATTCCCATGCCTCCCATCCCGCGCCCCATCATCGGGCCGCCTCGGCCCATCATAGGCCCGCGCATCTGTGCGTCGGGCGGGGGCGCCCCGGGAGGCAGCGGCGGGGCCGCGCCGTCGCCTCCGTCGGCGTCGCCTCCCCCCGCGTCGCCGCCGTCGCCGTCCCCCGCCGTCGCTGGCTCCGCCGCGTCCGTCCCCGGTTCGCCGCCGTCGCCGCCTTCTTTCCCCTCGTCCCCGGGCGCGGGCAGCGCCTCGACGGCGCCACCGCCGTCGCCGTTCTCGTCCCCGGGCGCGGGCAGCGCGGGGGCGTCGTTCTTCTTCTCCCGGTCCGTCAGAAACCCCATCATGCGCGAAAACTCGTCGTCGTCCGCGACGAGTTCGCTGCTCTCCCCGGTCGGCGCGACGAGCACGCCCGTCTCCGAGTGCTCCAAGCGGTTCTGCGGGATCCCGTACGCGGTTTTCATGCGAATCACGTCCGTCTGCGCGTCCCCGTTCGTGGGACAGTTCTGGATCCAGTGCCCGGGGACGCTGCATCGGAAGCAGACGTACCCTGGCGGCGGCGGCCCGCCCATGTCGCCTCTCCCTCCGCCTCGGCCCATGCCTCTCCCGCCGCCGTCGCCTCTCCCGCCTCTCCCGCCTCTCCCGCCTCTGCCCGCGCGCCCGGCCTCGTACGCGGCGGTCTTCTCCGACTCCCACGCGGACGCCGCGCCGCTGACGAGCGCGGCGATGGACGAGTCCACGGCGGCGTCGGGAGCCGCCGCGGCGTCCGCGCCGCCGACCCCAGGGGCTGTCCACGTCATCGAGTGCTGCGGCGGGTACTGCCGCCGCGGCATCCGCGGCTGCTCGCGCAGGGTCGCCTCGTCCGGCGGGCGCACGTACACGACCTGTTTCTGCGTCGTGCTCCCCGTCTCCGTCCCGACGGAGTTTAACCGAAGCGACGGCACGCGCTTCACGATCACGGACGTGTTTTTCCACACGAGAACCGCGTCGTCGGCGTAGTCTGCGTCGGGGAACGAGGGGGAGGGATGGTCAGGCGTTCGTTTCGTCGCGCGGCGTCCGCGGAGAGCGATCGCGCGGCGTCGCGAAGGAGAGAGGCGCACCTTCGTCCGTCTGCGCGTTCGTCAGGAGCAGCTCGCACGCTTGGTCGCGGCCCAACCCTTTCTTGTCCACGATCGCGCTCTTCAGGTCGCCGACGGAGATGAACATCCCGTCGAAGTTCACGGAGTCGTAGTCCTTCTGCGACTTGAACTTGTAGTGCACCGTGGACGCCATCGCGCTCGCGGTCGCCTCGTGGGCACGTCCACGCCCGCGCCGATCGCGCGCCGAAAACTGCGAGATCTCGGATCGGCAATCGGCGGTCGGCGGGAAAAAAAAAGTCGGCGCCGCAATCTGATGACGTTTCGGCGGCTACGAGACGTCGGCGCCGCATCCCTCGCGCGCACGGAGACTCGAACGCCACGCCACCCCAGCCGCGATGGCGAGCGCGCTGACGGCAACGGAGAAGACCGCCGCGGTCGAGGCGTTCACCGTGCTCGGCGTGTGCGAGGAGCTCGCGACCGCGGCGGCGGACCTCGGATGGAAGGATCCCTCGGAAATCCAGCGGGCGTCCATCCCGCAGGCGCTTCAAGGGAAAGACGTCATCGGCCTCGCGCAGACGGGCAGCGGGAAGACCGGCGCGTTCGCGCTGCCGATCCTCCAAGAGCTCCTGGACAAACCCCAGGCGTTCTTCGCGCTCGTGCTCTCCCCAACGCGCGAGCTCGCGATACAAATCTCGGAGCAGTTCGAGGCGCTCGGCGCCGGCATCGGCGTCAAGTGCGCGGTGCTCGTCGGCGGCGTCGACATGATGGCGCAGAGCATCCAGCTCGGGAAGCGCCCGCACGTCGTCGTCGGCACCCCGGGCAGAGTCGTCGACCACCTGACGAACACGAAGGGGTTCGGCCTGAAGCAGCTCCAGGTGCTGTGCCTGGACGAGGCGGACCGACTGCTGAACCTCGACTTCGAGCAGGAGATCGACCAGATCCTCAAGGTGATCCCGCGCGACAGAAGGACGCAGCTGTTCAGCGCGACGATGACGAGCAAGGTGGCGAAGCTCCAGCGCGCGTGCCTGCGGAACCCGGTCAAGGTGGAAGTCAGCGCGAAGTACAGCACCGTGGCCTCGCTGAAGCAACAGTACCTGTTCGTCCCGGCGAAGCACAAAGACTGTTACGCGTGCTACCTGTTCAACGAGCTCAGCGCGAGCACGATGATGGTCTTCACGCGGACGTGCGACCAGACTCGGAAGCTCGCGCTCGTGGCGAGGAACTTGGGGTTCGGCGCGATTCCGATTCACGGACAGATGTCGCAGCCGAAGCGCTTGGGCGCGTTGAACAAGTTCAAGGCGGGCGAGCGAAACGTCTTGGTCGCCACCGACGTCGCGTCGCGCGGGCTCGACATCCCCGCCGTGGACGTCGTCATCAACTTCGACGTCCCGCAGAACAGCAAGGACTACGTGCACAGAGTGGGACGGACCGCGCGCGCGGGCAGGAGCGGCCTCGCGATCACGCTCGTGACGCAGTACGACGTGGAGTTGTACCAGAAGATCGAACGGCTCATCAACAAAAAACTCGATGCGTACCCCGCGCCGGAGGAGGCCGTGCTTCTCATGCACGAGCGCGTGAACGAGGCGCAGAGGATCGCGCTGCAGCAGATTCGCGAGGCGGACGAGAAGGGCGGCGGGAAGAAGCGGAACCGGGACGGCGACGGCGACGACGACGCGCGGTTGATGACCATCATGGGGAAGAGAGGCGGCGGCGGCCGCGGCGGCGGCGGCCGCGGCGGCGGCGGCCGCGGTCGCGGCAGAAGGTGACAGAAGGTGACGAGCGTCGACTCGACGAGGTCACGATACGATTAACGATAGCTAGACACTAGAGTCTACAGTACGACGCGAGACGAGACGATCACAGCTTCGCGAGGAATCCTCCGTCGACGGGCAACACGACGCCGGTGACCCAGGCCCCCGCGGCGCTCGCGAGGTAGAGCGCCGCGCCAGCCATGTCCTTCTCGTTCCCGCGCCGCCGCAGCGGTATGCCCCCCTTCAGCACATCCTTCGCCTCCTCGTACGTCGCCAACTGCTGACTCATGCGGCTCGGGACGTACCCCGGCGCGATCGCGTTCACGGTGATCGACGCGCCGCCCTCGGCGCGGCGGTCCGCGAGCTCGTCCGCGAGTTTTTTCGTCAGGTGATGCGCCGCCGCCTTGCTCGCGTCGTACGAGAACGTCGGGAACACCTGCGGGCGCAGACCAGCCGTGGAGCCGACGTTGATCACCCGCGCGGGGTCGTCCTCTCTCGAGCCCGCGTCGAGCGCGGGGAGGAGCTCTCGGGTCAGGAAGAAGACGCCCTTGACGTTCAGGTCGTACGTCTTGTCCCACCCCTTCTCGCCGTGCGCGCGCATCGGCGCGCCCCACGACGTCCCCGAGTTGTTCACGAGGACGTGCAGCGCGCCCGCGTCGATCTTCTCGCGGAACGCGCGCGCGAGCGCGGCGCAGCCCTCCTCCGTGGACAAGTCCGCGGAGCCGAGGGCGACGCACGTCCCCGGGCCCGACGCGGTGAGCTTCGTCGCGACGTCGTCGCACGCGGCGGCGTCGCGCGACGCGATGTACACGTCCGCGCCGTTCGCGACGAAACCGGACGCGATCATGAGCCCGATCCCGCGCGCGCCGCCGGTCACGAGGACGTTCTTGCCGCGCACGCCGAACAGCTCGGGAACGCGGAGGCTGTCCATCGCGGGAGCGCGCGCGCCGGCGACAGGACGGGCGCGCCGGGATGAGTGATCGATCATGTTCTTTTTTGGTCGTCGACGTTAGAGTTCGAGTCGCGATAGATCTCGCCCGCGTCGCGGCATCGTCGCCCGCGCGCGAGACGACCGCGCGGAGGTTTCGAACGCCAAGTCGGGTTCGCGGCGAGGATGTCGCGCAGGGCCGCGCGCGTCGCAACCCTCGCGGTCGCGGCGAGAGCGTCCGCGTCGTCCGCGATCGGCGCGTCTCGCGCGGCACCCTCAGTCGGCACCCTCGCCCCCATCTTCGCCCCTCGTCCGAAGATCTCGCCCCCGAACCGCGCGGGCGGGATCGACGCGCGCGGGTTCGCGGGGGTCGCCGCCGCGCCTCGGAACGCGCCGACGGGCGCGTCCACGTCCAAAGACGGCGGCGGTCGCTCGTGGCTCAGCGTCGCCGCGATCGCGTCCCCGTCCGTCGTCTGCGCGTTCCTGTGCAAGTGGCAGCTCGACCGGTACGAGCTGAAGAAGACCGCGATCGACGCGCGCGACGCTGCGCTCGCGGCGCCGCCGCTAACGTCGCGCGACCTCGCGGACCTCGCGAGGCGCGGGGAGAAACCGAAGGAGTACGCCCCGATCGCGCTCGAGGGGACGCTGGAGACGTCGAAGACGGTCCACATCGCGCCGAGGACGCGGTCGGTGTACGGCTCCCCGATGCCCGGAAGCGTGGTCCTCACCGCGATGCGTCCGAGGTCGCCGCGGGGCGCGCCCGTCGTCCTCGTCAACCGCGGGTGGGTCCCGACGGACTGGGAGGAGCCCAAGGGCGGGACGTGCTTGAAAACCTCTGGGGTGACGCGCGCGGGGGAGACCCCCGGGTATTTCACGCCGACGAACTCGCCGGAGAAGAACGAGTGGCACTGGGTCGACCTCCCCGCGATTTTGCGTCACCTGAAGCTGCCGGAAGATACGCCGCTGGCGCAGGTCGCGCACGACGGCGACGCCGACCGAGGGACGGCCGCGCCGACGTCGTACCCGGCGCCGGTCGCGCTCGCGGACGTCAGGGCGTTCAAGGTGAGTCCGAGCGATCACGTCAACTACGCGGCGACGTGGGGGAGTCTGTGCGTCGCCACCGCCGGGCTCGCGGCGTACGCTTTGTACGGCGGGAGGGGAGGAGGAGCCAACGCGGCGAAGAAGGCCGCGAGGGCGATCGGCGGATGAGGCCTCGCGCGGTCGTCGTGCGCGTGCTGTGTCGCAACTTACTCTAGCTAGAGATGCTACTAGTCGCGTCCACGTTCAATTCAAATCGTCGAGCGGATCAGATCAGCGCGCTTGCCTGTCCACGTCCCCCGCGATTCGAGTCACGTCCACGCCCGCGGCGAACGTCACGTGCGCGAGCTTCGAGAGTTCCGGCACGGGCCACACCCTCGCGGTCGGCCCGCCGCCGCACGGGTTCGCGCCCGCGTCCGTGGCTTCCTTCATGACGCACTCCATGAGCTCCGCGAACTCTTGATTCACGTGGATCAAGTCCATCCCGCCTTTGCTGATGTGCTGCGACGCGCCGACGGCGCGCGACGACCGGTCCGACCGCGTCGACGCGCCCCCCTTCTCCCCCGCCGCCTCCGCGCCGCCGCCGCCGCCCATCTCCCCCCCCGCCGTTCTGACGTCCGTGCAGAACGGATCCTCCATGTTATACCGAACGTTAAACAGACCCATCATCGCGAGCGAGGTGAGCACCGCGAGCGTGCACGCGTACACGTTCGCCCACACCACGAGCGACGCGCTCGGCGAAGACGCGCCCGCGGACGCGTCGTCGTCGCCGACCATCTGCTCGACGAGCCTCGCGTAGTAGGGACCCCAGAATATCGGGTGCAAGAAGATGTACACGCGCGCGAACGCCCTCGTCGCGATCGGGGTGCGGTACTTCTTTATGAACTTGAGCTTCTCCCACGCGCACATCGTGAGCGTGACGTACTGACGCAACCGCGAGCTCTCGTTGCCGGGCATGCCGCCGTATTTGAGCTCCTCGACGGCGTGGGAGATCTTATCGAAATGCGACGCGATCCGCTGGTTGATCTCTCGGTAGATGGTCGCCATCTTCATCCTCTGCCGTCGCCCCCACTCCGTGTGGAAGTGCTCCTGCCGCGTCGTGTTCGGCGCGGTGAGGACGTCCCTCATGTCCACGACGAGCTGCGCGACGACGTACCGCACTTGCGAGAGATGCCCCGCCGGCAGTTTCCCTCGGCCGTTCGCGCCCCAGTCCCAGTCCCGGTGTCCTTGGTAGTACGACAGCAGGTACGCTTTCACCTCGCCGATCATCCTGAGCGCTTCCTCGCGTCGGCGGAACGCCTCGTTCAGGGAGTTCGTCAGCGGGAACACGATCGCGAACGAGATGAACGCCCAGCTGACGTCGACGGCTAACCTGTTGCCGTGCACTTTATACAACGAGAACAGCAGCACGCTCGCGACGGAGAGCGCGGAGACGAGTATCGACTCCACGGTGACGAGGAACATGAAGTACACCCTCGCGGACGCGACGAGCGCGAGTACGGCGCCGAACAGCGGCGCGAACGGCCCCGTCTTCGGCGTCCCCTCGCGCCACTCCACGTGCAGCGGGGATTCCGCCGCCCACATCGCGTCCACGCGCTGGAGGTTGTCGTCGACGTCGTCCCCGAGCGAGTACGAGTCCAGGCGCTTGACCTTCCCGTTCCCCGCGCCGCGCGACGTGGTGGACTTGTGGTGGGCGCTCCCCGGGGGGACCATCGGGGTCGCGACGTCGAGGTCGTCGCTCGCGGGCGTCATCGCGACGCGGTGCGGCGCGTGTCACGGACGTGTGTCACGTCGTTGTGTCACGGAACGTTCGTTGGAACTCGAACGGCACTCTGCTCGGAGGGCGAGGGGGGCGCGTGTTGACCGGCAGACCTCCGCGCGCGCGCGTCGTTCGTCATGGGGAACGGCGCGTCGAGCGCGAACGGCGACGCGGGCGCGTCGTCGTCGCCGGCGCTGAGCTTCGACATCGCGCTCGAGATCCTGCCGCATCTGGACGTGAGGGACTCCGCGCGCGCGGCGACGTGTTGCGCGGCGCTTCGCGATCTGCAGCGCAGCGATCTGTGGTGGAAGCTCGCGAGCGAGCGCTTGGGGACCGAGGCGAGGCTGTACGTCTCCGCGAACGCGAAGACCGGGAAGCCGACGAACGGCGGGACGTGGAAGGACGAGTTCTTCCGCCTGTGGGCCGCGCGCGGGGTGTGGCGCGAGCCGACGATGGACGAGGCTGAGCGCGCGCGAGATCGTTTTCGACGCGTGGCGCGGGGCGAGGACGTGTCCGATGACGAGGACGACGAGAACGTCGACGCGAGCGCGCGCGACGACGCCGCGGACGACCGCGGGAGCATCAAAGTCTGCGTCCGAATGAAGCCCAAAGCGGACGATTGCCTCGCCGCGCGCGAGGGCGAGGACGACGGCGCTAAGCCCGTGGTCCTCCCGCTGCATCAGCGCCTCCGCGTCATCAAAGCGAAGCGCGGCGCCGCGTGCACCACCTCGGACGCGATGAAAGTGTTGATGGAAGAGGACGGAAGAGGCGAAGAGAGCGCGGCGTCGCCGTGGATCGAGGCGGACGTCGTCGTGAAGACGGAGACGGAGACGGCGGCGTTGGCGGACGTCACGAACGCGAGCGCGTCGACGCGCGGCGCGGCGGGAGCGGAGAAGAAGGAGGAGGAGAAATCGTCTTCGACGCGCGCGCGAAGCGTCGGCGGCGCGTCCGAGCTCACCGTCGGTGTCCTGTCCGTGGACGCGACGGAGCACAAAGTCCTCGCCGTCGTCAAGGGAGTCGGCCTGAGAGAATTCGCGTTCGACGCCGTGTTCGGCGACGTCGCGACGCAAGAAGAGACGTACGAGACGTCCTCGCGGTCCGTCGTCGCGGATTTCATCAACGGTTTCAACGGCACCGTGGTCGTGTACGGGCAGACCGGATCGGGGAAGACGCACACGATGTTCGGACCGCCGCCCGGGGTGGGCGGTCGCAAACATCGCGGGATCGTCCCGAGGGCGTGCGAGGAAGTGTTCGACGCGTTGAGGAAGCGCGAGGCGCTCGGGATCCGCTCGAAGGCGTCCGTGTCCTACGTCGAGGTGTACGGGCAAGAGGTGAGCAACCTTCTGAAACAGGGCGCCGCGGTCGGGCAGTCGCGCGTCGCCGGGCAGAGGTACGTCCTCGACGGCCGCGCGGAGGAGACCGTGTTCTCCATGTCGGACGTCGAGCGTCTGCTCGAGGTTGGGGACGCGCAAAAGCGACGCGCGGCGACGTCCATGAACGAACGCTCGTCGCGCGCGCACTCCGTGTTCACTCTGTCGCTGAAGCAGACGGACGAGCGCACGGGTCGGGAGCTCAAGTCGCGGCTGTGCCTCGCGGATCTTGGAGGGTCCGAGAAGCTGAGCAAGTCGAAGGCGAACGACGGCGCGATGTCGATCGGAACGACGCCGTGGAGCGAGTACTACGACTCGCGCGCGCGTCTCACCGAGGCGGTGAACATTAACGTCGGGCTGTTAGCCTTGAAGCGATGCATCGACGCGACGCACGAAGCGCAGCGGCGGCGGAAGGAAGGGAAACCGCCGCCGCACGTGCCGTACCAAGATAGCAAGCTGACGACGTTGTTATCCTCCGCGCTCGGCGGGGATTGTAAAACCGTCGTGTTCGTGACGGCGTCGGGGGAGTCGCAGCACGCGGCGGAGACGACGCAGTCGCTGCGGTTCGGGGAGAAATGCGCCAGCGTGGAGACGCGAGCGCGCGTGGGCGCGAACGCGCACGCGAAGGCGATCGCGAAGCTGAACGAGAGGATCGAAAAGTGCGAGGAGGAAATCAAAGCGAACGAGCGGTGGGAGACGACGAGAACGATTCGCAAAGACGAACGCGGCGGCGACGACACGGAGGACGAGGTCGTCCTCACGTCCAAGCTCGTCGGCGCGGAGGATTTACGAATCGATCTCGAGGTGATGCTGCGCGAGAGGGACGTCCTCAGCGGCCACCTCGCGGCGGCGGAGACGTCCGCGGTCGGCGCGAAGATGAACGCCGCAGCGGAGGCGTTCGACGAGGGCGCGACGTTCGGGGGCGCGCGTTGAGCTGTTGACCCCGCGTCGATCGAGTTCGAGGCGTCGCGTCGTCTGCTCTGTGAGTCTATGCTGTGTCAACAACGCTATGATGGGAGTCGCGCGCTCGACGCGAGTCCCGAGTGCATCGCTATCTTCGCGTCCCCCGCGCGCGCTCACACGGCGATCCCGTGCGCGCTCAGGACGTTTCTAAATTGTTCTCTTCCCACGGGCTTCGGCAAAAAGTCCAAACCGCACCTCGAGCACCTCTCCTGAACCTCGCTCGGCTCGTCCCCGGAGACGATGACGATGTGCGGTGGCGGTATCCCTTGCGCCGCCGCGTCCGCTTTGATCATCTCCGCCGCGACGTAGCCGTCCATGCCCTGGCCCAGGTGCACGTCCATGACGACGAGGCGTCTCTGGCATTCCCGCTTCGCAACCGTTGTGTCCGCAACTTTCTGGAAATTCTCGCCGAAAGCTCTCATCGCGAGGACCGCCTCCTCGCCGCTCGACGCGGCCGCGACTTCGCACCCGAAGCTCGCGATCATGGCTCGGAATACCTGTCTGTTCACGCAATTGTCGTCGACGACGAGTATCGAAGGCATGGCGGCCGGCCAGCCCCGTTGTTCGCCGGGAGAAAAAGTGCGGTCGATAATGCTTTTCGAGGTTTTTAACCTGTTTTTCGCGCGATCTTTTCGAGATCGAACCGAGATGAATCGCGTCATCGGACGCGTCCGGTTTCAAAACGACGGTCAAGTCCTTTCGAGTTTCAGTTTAAAAACGTTGAATTGAAACCATCACTTGACCGCATTTGACCGGCCGAAGTTCCATGTGACGCGCTCGAAGGAAAATGACCTGGAAAGCGCGTGTCGCATTGGCGAGCGCGCTTCGTCCACGGGGACGATGACGGACCAAACATCCAGCGGCAAGGGCATGGGCCGTCCCGTGCGGTCGTGGAACCAGTTCAGCGGCCTGTTCCCCGGCACGAACGGCCTGAGGAAGCAGAAGAACGACGAGTCGCACGGATCGCTCGCGGAGATCGTCATGGCGGAGAGCGCCAAGTCGAAGATCAATTACGACAAGTGCAAGGCGCGTGAACGGACGGACGCGCGAATAGTTTCGTCGCCGACGCGCGCGACGCCGCGCGGTCGCGAGCGTCGTCGACCGCGACGCTCGATCGCGCGGCTCGAACCCGCGTCTCGTCGCGCGCGCCCGTCGCGAACCCTACGTTAACATTCTTCGTTCCGCCGACCAAAAAAAAAACTCGCGCGCTAACAATTAATTCCTCGAACGCCTCGACCCGTCCGCCCTCCTCACCCCTCCCCAGGTCATCGCGACGATCGGCGGCCCGCTGTCGCACACGGTGGACCAGCTCTCTGACCTCCTCCGCGCCGGGATGGCGTGCGCGCGGTTCGACTTCACGACCGGAAGCCGCACGTTAGAGGACCACCTCGACACGCTGAAAAACCTGAACGAAGCGCGAAGGCGAACGAAGCACATGTGCGCGGTGTACTGCCACGTCGGCGGGAACGTCTTCGCGGTGAGCAAGCGAACGAAGGACACGAGAGTCGCGTTTACCGCGGGCCAGACGGTCACGCTGACGCACGGCGCGCCGACGTGCGACGGCAGCGACGTGCTGCCGATGGGGAGCAACTCCGTGGAGGACGAGCTCGACTTCACGACGTCGTTTTCCGCGGGCGACGTCGTCAACGTGCACCCGTACCTTTGGGCGGGCGAGAGCGCGTCCACCGCGGAGCTCGAAGTCGAGAGCGTGAGCGAGGAGGTGGTGACGTGTCGGTGCCGGAACAGCGCGGAGATTCCGCAGGAGTGCGAGATGATGAGCGTGAACTTCTCCAAGGGGGCGAAGAACGTCATCAACGCGTGCGACGAAGGCAACTTGAAGCGATTCGCCGTGCCGAACAACGTGGACTTCGTCTCCTGCGGTGCGATACGCTCCGCGGAGACGCTGCGGATGTTGAAGCAGCTTCTGAAGCAGTGGGGGCTCCCGAAGACGCGAGTGATCGCGCACGTGGATAACCTCCACGCGTTGCGTGATTTAAAAGACGTGGTCACCGAGTCCGAGGTCGTGCTGTTAGCCCGCGGCGAGCTCGGCGCGGTGATCGAGCCTGAGAAGATGTTCGCGATTCAAAAGACTGTCCTCAGGACGTGTGAACGCATCGGCCGGCCGTGCGTGGTGACGCGGCTCATGGACAGCATGGTGTTCGCGCCGCGGCCGACGCGCGCGGAGGCGACGGACGTCGCGAACATCGTCCTCGACGGCGCGGACGGATTACTGCTCGGGCTCGAAACGCTTCAAGGGATGTTCCCGCTGCCGTGCTTGCAGACCGTCATCTCGATCGCGCGCGAGGCGGACGCGGTGTACGACTACGAGAGCCGGTACCGCCGACAGATGCAGCAAGTGAACGAGAAGCTCGCGGCGGTGACGGACGACGGCGACGCGAAGAGCGAACGCGACCGGAAGCTGTCGAGGACGAAGAGCGCGAACGTCTTGCAGATGACCAAAGCCTTACAGAAAGAAGCGCTCGCGGCCGCGGCGGTGCAGACCGCGTATCACGTCGAAGCGAAGCTCATCGTCGTGTTCTCGCACACCGGGGAGACGACGCGGCTGGTCGCGCGGTATCACCCGCACTGCGTAGTGTTGTCGTTGTCGATTCCCACGGTGCGAGGCGGGACGTTGAAATGGACAGTCGAGGGCGACCAGGAAGCGCGGCAGCAGATGCTGTATCGCGGCGTCGTCCCCGCGCTCAGCGCCGGGCAGCCGAGCGCGATCGACGAGGAGGACGACAGCGACGAAGAGTACGACACGATCGAAGACGCCGGGCAGTCGCGGACGGATCGCGAGGCGATGACGACGGCGCACGAGCTCGGGCTGATCAAACCCGGCGAGCTCGCGGTGTTCTGTCAGCTCATCGGCGGGCTGTCCACGGTCAAGGTCGTCGATTTCGCGGGCCTGGACGGCGGCGTCGCGACGACGTTCTCCCCGACCGCGTCCAGGAGCAGCTCGCCGAGTTTGTTCGCGAGCGGGTCGCCGAGGAGCGGGGGACGCGCGGCGGGGAACGTCGGGAATTTGGGCGGCGTCGGGACGTCCACCGACCTCGCGCGTCTGAACATCGTCGACGTCGCGGAGATCATGTCGGGCGACCCGGATTTGATGCAGAGATCGCCACCGCTGGTGGTGGGCGGGGGGCCGAAGAGACCGCCGCGGGGGCCGGCGGCGCGAGGGAGCTCGTTCAGAAGCCGCGGGAGCCGGTCGTCGATGTCGTCGATGGCGTCGACGAAGGAGAAATAGGACTCGAGCGTCGTCGTGTTGTTGTATTCTGATGAATACCGCGCGTTATCTACGTTCGTGATCGCTCGATGAGCGTCGTCTACATGATCTCTCAGATCTTCCCTTTCCCTCGCGTCCTGTCGTACGCGTCCGCCATGCGAATCGTCTGTTTCATCATCGCCAGCCTGATCTTCGCCCCGGCGTCCGTCTCCGTGAGGTGCGCTTCGAAGCCGTACCGCAGACTCTTGAAGCACGGCGGCGCGCGCAGCTCGCTCGTCGGGCAGTTCAGAAGCGCGTGAAAGAACGCCTCCCACAGCTCCGTCTTCCAGTACCGACGCAGCGTCTCCGTCGGCGCGTACGCGCCCGTCGCCGCGTTTTTCGAAACCTTCATGTACTTGCCAAACAAGAGCGCGTGAATCGTCGCCGCGACGCAGTACGCGTCCGCTTGAAACGTCCACGCCTCGCCGTTCACCATCTCGACGCAACGGAATCCTTCCGTCCCGTGGTCGCCGAAGAACACCGCGTTCGATGGAAACGCGTTCAAGTCGAGCGCACGACCAAAGTCGATCAGCGCGAGGCCTTTGTCTTTCCACGACCGCGGCCGGTGCGCGGCCCAGTCGCACCACTCCTCGCCGCCGTTTCGAACGAGGAGATTATCCGGCTTGATGTCTGCGTGTAAAACGCCGTCGCGATGCAGCGCGTCCATCACGCGAAGGAGTTCGATGGCGTAGTACATCACGAGCACTTCGTCCATGGCGTCGCCGACGCGCAGGTACGCGTTCAAGACGTCTTGCAGCGTCCCGTGCGCGCCAAAGGGCATCACGATCACGCCCGACGTCGCGTCCGCGGTGGCACCGGACGCGTCCGAGCCGCCGACGAGGTGTAACGCCGTGGGCTGGACGATGAGAGGAATGTCGGTCTCCGCGAGACGCTCCGCGAGGCGTTTAGTGATGACCCACTCCCATCGCGCGAGGCGCGCGGTTTGAACCTTCACCGCGATGCCTCCTCTGAGGTCGTCGTCCTCGTCGTCGAGCTCGCCACTGAGCGACGCCGCGGCGACGGCCGCGTGCTCAGCCTCGAACACGTCCGCGTGCGCGCCCGAACCAGCGCTGCCCATGAGGACGTACTCGGCGTCGCCGAGCGACAGTTTCACCCCGCCCTTCAAACGCGCTCGGCCGCCGCCGGCGGCTTTCGTCGCCGCTACGAGCGCGTTCGACGCGTCTTCACCCGCGTGCACTTTCGCGCCCTTTTCCAGTCTAGGGTCGAACGAAGCGAGGTTGACGTCGATAACTTTGGGATCGAAAGGGTCGATCCTAATCGCGTATGAACGTGGAGCTGTCACAGGAGGTGCAGGTCGGTGAGTCGGCACGCCGGTCCGGGTAGGGAGCAAGATCGAGGTCGGAGGGGGGGCACGCCGTAGCGTGTCTAACACCTCCCTGCGATTTGTCGTGTTTAGAGCGAACATGGAGGGGTTTGATCACTCGTAGTCTACCGAAAGTCGGGCGTGTCGTGCAGGGTCGTGACCAACCTGTTCATGGGTATCTGCGCGGTTTCGTCGCCGTCGGCGTACACCTCGAAAGCGTCCTCCCCGGCGAGCTCCGGCGGCGGCTGCGCCGTCCTCAGCGTCTCCTCCGCGGCTCGTCTCGCGTTCTCGTCTGACGGAATTGTCGTGAGCATGTCCAGCGCGGCCGCGCGCTGCTTCGAAAGCGGCTGCAACGCCGCGGTCGCGGCCGCGGCGTCCGCGATGTGCCTCGGCTTGAACAGGTCCACCAGAGGCGCCCCCGCGGGCGCGGTATTTTCCGTGTTTCCCTCCGACGGCTCGCCCGAGTCCGTCGCGCTCGTCGTAGCCTGCGACGGCGCGACGCTCGCGCGCGAGTCCACGCCCGCGGCGTTCACCGCGGCGTTCACCGCGGCGGGGTCCACGAGCACCGTATCCTGGTACACGTCGAAGCTTAGCCCGGCTTGATCGGGGGTATTCGCCGGCGCGCGCGGGCCCGACGGCACGTCCACGGTTGGGCTGTCCTCGCCCGCGGTCACGTTCAGCGGGTGCGGCTCGAGCGTGATCTTCTGCGTCGGCGTCGCGTTCTCGTCGCACGGGGCCGCCGCTCGAGCGCTGGGCGTCTTCGCGACGGACTCGGGGGGAGGCATCGCGGCGCGCGGCGCGAGCGGCGGTCGCACGGACGCCGGCGTCGGCGCGAGCGGAATCCTCGTAGACGCCGGGGTCGGCGCGAGCGGAATCCTCGTGGACGCCGCAGCCGCCGGCGTCGCCGCGGGCGCGAACGCGTTTTGAGGGATGACCACGGTGTCCTCTCGAATGTCGAGCCCCTCGAACGCGCTCGCGTTCTCCGTCGCGGCCTTCTCCGCGACCGCGGCGGCTGCGTTCGCGGGGATCAAGCACGTGTCCTCGTAAATCGCGAACGCGTCCTCATCCGCGACCGCGGGCGGGGGCGCGCGGACGACCGGCGCGGGGCTCGGCGCTTTCGCGACTGGAGCCGGTGCCTCCGCGGCTTTTTTCGCGCGCTTCGCCTCCGCCTCAGTCTCCGCGGCTAACCCGCCGCTGAACATGGACATGATGTCTCCCCACGCTTCCTTCGTGCAAATCGTCATCGTCGGGTCTTGCACGCCGTACGTTCCTCCCTCGGTCGCGGTCCAGCGCAAACCCGCGGGAACGGGCGGTTGATCCGGTCGCGTAAGCGCGGGGTCGGTGACCGGCGGTGCCGCCATCGCGGGCACGCCGGTGGCCTCGTCCGTGGGGTGCAGCATCCGCGGCGGCGCCTGGGACGCGCCCGTGGATGGCGGCGCCTCGCTGGATCCCATCTCGAACCGCGGCGGCGGCACCACCGGGGGCGCGGACTGTCCGTCCGGGGAGTTCATCGCTTCCTCTTCCTCCATGAGCGGTGGCAACACCGGCGCGGTCGTCGCGGTCGTCGTCGCGAACGCGCCGCCGATGTGCATCGGCCGCGTCACTTTCCTCTCGTTCGATTTCGTCTCCACGTCCATGTCGTCCGTCTCCGCCGCCGCCGCCGCCGCGGTCGCGTCGCGCGGAGACGGGACGGGACCGTTCTTCGCGACCCATCGCACGGCTCTGCGCTCCTCGTAGCACGCGTCGTCTCTGTTCACGTCCGCGGGGACGTACCGACCGTACGACGTCACCGGGCGCCGAAGCGCGGCGGCTTCGCCCGCGACGGCGGCGCCTCGTCCGTGGTACAGCATCGGGTTCTCCGCGAGCGTGTCTCCGCCGCCGTCGGCGATGTCGAGCCTTCGACGAAGCGCGTTCGCGTTCCTGTTTTTCGCCGCGGCCTTCACGTTCGCCTTCGCGGTCGCGACCGCGTTCGCCGCGGCCTCGGCTTCCGCCTCCGCGAGGTCTTCGTCTTCGTAAATCTCGAGCGTCTCCGCGGGCGGCGGGGCGCCCGACTGTCCCGGGCGCGCGCGCTTCTGCTTCAGCGTCTGCCCCGCCCACGTCGTCGTGCTCTGGGAGTTTTCCTTCTTCGTCTCCTTGATCGTTCCCAGGTTTCTCCACGCTGCGGGCGCGTTCGCGGCGTTCACCGGCGGCGGCGCGCCGTTCTCGTCGTCGCAATAAATCTCCAAGCCGCCGTCGCCGGCGTTGTTATCGTTCGTCGTCTCCGCGCTGGACGACGACGCCGCGGCGGCGATGCCCCTGAACCCGCGGTTCCTCTTCGCGCCCGAGGAGCTTCCAACGCCGCGGCCGGTGCCCCCCGCGCCGAACCGCCGGGACGACCCCACTGGCGTCTCTCGCTCGCCGTCGACGCTCTCGTCCAAGTGTCTGAGTTCGCGTTTTTTCATGCGGTCGCCAAACTGCGCGAGCTTTTGTTTCAGCCTGTCTCTCGGCTCCGCGCGCATGAGCACGCCGCGGTCGTACACCTCGTTCGCTTGCTTGAAAGCGCCTCTGATCTCGAGGAACGCGGCGTACGCTTCGTAAAACAGCGTGTGTTTCTGTCCGATGTCGTTCGCCTGGAGAAACTTGAAGATGTCGTGCGGCTCTTTGCAGCAGTCCGCGTACTTGACCCAAACGCGCAAATAGCGGACGTCATCTTTGTACCTCGGGATCTCCTGGAGCTCTCGCGTGCATCGCTCCAGGAGTGGCAGCACCTCCGTCTCGCGTCCTCCCGCGGTGAACGTCTGCTCCGTCCACTTGATGAACCTGTCAACGCGCGACGACGCGGGGAAATGTCAGAAAAAAGCGCAGCGGGGGGAGGAAGACGCGAGATCGCGAGTAAATGCCACGGGGACGAGCGCCGCGCGCGCGGTCGCGCGTTCTCACCTGACCCACACGGACAGAGGATCGTCGCCCTCGTACTTCGCGATCGCGTTCCAGAACTCGCTGCGGGATGGTGGTCGGATGGAAGGGACGAGACGGTCAGTTTCGCGCGTCAGGACGCGGTGAGTCACCGACCAAGATTTGGTTCGCGGGGACCGTCGTCCGCGACGCGCTCGCGCGCACCTTCGCTCGTCCTGAATCTTCGCCGCGCGCTCGCTCTGTTTCATATTCGCCGCCTCTTCCATCATCCTTGGGTCCCGGCCCCGTCTCAGGGGCTGGAAGTTCTCCTTCGTCGTGTACCACGTCGGGTCCGCCATCGCCGATGCGGTTTGGCAAAACTCCGAGCGAATGAACGAATGCTCCGTCGCGAGATCGTTCGGCCGTCCGCTTCGGCCGGCGCGCGTCGTCGCTTCGCGAGCGCGCGAGAGAAGAGCGTCTTCTTACCGCGATACGTCACGGACGCGCGATGCGCCTCGCCGGCGTGCGGGTGACGGCGCGCGCGTTCGTTTGCCGCGCGCGTCGCCGGGGGAACAACCGGAAGCGAAAAGCGCGAGCGGAGGCGTTTCGATTTTTCGTCTCGTCGCGGACGAAAAAAGAAGGCGCGCCGCGCGCTGACGACGCTTCTATGCCGCGACGTGATTGGTCGACGCCTGCCTGTGTGGCAACTTTTGGGTGAGGCACAACGTTCGTCTCATCAGGCGGGTTTTCTCGCTCGCGATCCCGGCCCGGACCCCATTCACTCGCACCCGGAACCATGGCTGCTCTCACCCAGACCTGCAAGATCGCGCTCCCCGCCCGCTCGGCGGCCCGCACCACGCGCGCGTCCCGCCGCTGCGCGATTGTCGCCAAGGCGGCCGCGCCCGTGGACGTCGTCCGCGTCCAGCAGAAGGTGCGCGATTGATTCACGTTCTCCGCTATCGCTATCATATCCGGTTTTCCGGGCCGTCCTCTCGCGCGGCGAGGGGCGGTCGCGACGCGGTCGCGACGACGCGTCCGCGCGCGTCGCGCGCGCGTCGGAACGATGGCGACACGAACGCATCGTCGTCGCTCTCGCGGGGCGTTTTCACCGCGCGAGCGCGCCGGGAGACGCCGCGTAGCGACGATCGGACGGCTGCGGCTTTTCGTTCGTTCGCGCTCGGGTGCCGCCAGTCGTCGCGGTGTGCGCGCGCGAGCCGAGTCGGCGTCGCGCGCGAACGCGCGCGCGCGATCGTCGCGGCGGTGAATTCGCCGCCGCCGCGCGACCGCGACCGTCGACGTCGCCGCCGCGTCGCGCGCTCGACGTCGTCGCGGCGTCCGGTATTCCGGATCGTCGCGCGGCCCGGCGGGGGCCCGGGCGAGAGCCCGATCGCGCTCGGACGCGTCGAAAAAGAATCTCGCCTCGCCCGCCCCGCAGTCGCGGTCGCTGACGATCTCACCCCCACCCACCTCCCGTGTTCCTCTCGAACGCATCAGGCTGTCGCGTCCGCGCTCACCGTCGGTGCCGTCTACGAGGCGATGGCCACCCCCGCGGCGCAGGCGGCGATGGAGCTCACGCAGGTTGCGGAGGGTGAGCCCTTCATCGTCAACTTGGCGTGGGCGGCGATCATGGCCACCTTCTCCTTCTCCCTCTCCCTCGTCGTGTGGGGCCGCTCCGGTCTTTAAGCGGCGTCTAGTGACTTGACGTCGGCCGATGGGGGAACGGAACGTTTAGTGCGATACGATAATAAATGGGTTGTGGGAGACGGTTCGGATGCCAGGGATTGGTAGAGGATATCGGTATTCTTTTTTGGCGAACGGCGCGGAGGTGGTGCCTCAGATAGCAGAGCTTGTCATTCAACGCGCGCTTCGTAATCACGTCGTTCAACGCGCGCTTCGTAAGCAGTCGCAATCGAGATATCGTCTTAAATATTTTAAAGAATCCGCGTTTCTACGTGGGAACCGCGCGTCGCGGTGGCGACGGCGTCACCCCCGCGACCTTCCCGACCATTTTGACTATCCGCCGCAGCAGCGACGGCGACTTCGCCAGCTCTTCCTCCCCTTCGTCTTCGCTCCCCTCGGGCTCCTTTTAAACGCGCACGACTTTGATGGATATGCGAATTTTCTCCGTCTTCTCTCCTTCGTTCTTCTTCGTGGTCGTCGTCTTCGCCTTCGCGCCGCCGCTCGCCTTCGCGCCGCCGCCGCGCTCGGGTTCCATCGACGGCAACGACGGGCTCTTCAGCGTGTCCACGGCCAACCCTTTCTCCGCCATCAAAGCCCTCGGGTCTAATTGTGCCGCGTTCAACGCGTTCACGGTTGCTTCGTCGCTCACGCGCGCGACCTCGTTCGCTTTCAAGACCCACCGAACGATTCTTCGGTAAATCGTGAACGGCAGCTTCGAGTTCCCCCAGTGCGTGTTCACGAGCTCCGTGCCGACGGGCTGGAAGCAGCAGCACGGCCCGAACACGGACTTGCACCTCGCCGTGCACAGCTTCGCTTGCCCGATGACGAGGTGGTTCACCATCGGCAGACGCGCGGCCGTGCGCACGATCTCCACGACCGACGAGCTGTCGAAGTTGTGCGTCGTCGAGAAGATCACGCTCGTGCTGAGGCACTGCGCCAGCTGCGTCTCCGCGGTGCCGAGGATGAAGTTCGCGTTGTGCCCCGCCGTGCTCAGAGACTCCTCGTACAGGTCTTTCTGGCACTCGATCCCGCACATGCACGCCTGCGGGAACGCCTTCAGCAGACCCTTCACGAACGTCCCGTCGCCGCAGCCGACGTCCACGAACGTGCACGGATCTCTGTCGTTCATGACGCCGTGCTCGCGGAAAATCTTCGCCATCGTGTCCGCGTTCGTTATCCCGGGGTGCAGCGCGCGCTTCGACAGCGCCTGCCCGTCCCACCGGTTCGTCTCCGGGACCTCCTCCGGGTACCACCCCTCGCCGAGGTCGATTTTCTTGGCGCCCTCGAGAGAGCTCCGTCCCGAGCGTCCCTTCGTCGACGCCGGCGTCTTGTCCCCCTTCGGCGGGGACGAGCGTTCCATGTCCAAGAACCCGTCCACGGACACCTTCGTCGCCGGCTGCGTCCCCGCGACCGCGGTCGCGTGCGGGACGCTGCTCTTCCACCCCGCGGCCTTGCACAGCCCGGGGTGGAGCAGCAGCGTCCCGACCGGGACGACTAAGGTGAGCTCCGGCGGTTTCTTCCCGTGCACGTCGATCGACCACCCGCCGTTCTTGTACGTCTCCGGGGATCCTCAGAGTCGACCGCAGG